GAAATTTGCTGTGCTGAATTAAATTTCTTCTTCCCCTTCAACCTCACAGAGGTGAAACTAAGAAAAGAAGTTGTCTCAGAAAACAAAAGGAAAAATAAATATTGAAGAAAACCCATAATTCATTAATCAAAATATATTATTTCTGAATTTATTAAGAGATTCCTTACTGTTTCAGATTACGTGTTAAGTGTTATTATGATAGAGACTTGGAAAGTAATACTTCATTTCATATTGCCCAGAACTCTCTTTCAGACCAAAACAGCACATTTGTTCACAGTCCATAGTGAAATTATTTCCACTGTTTCATGGAGAAGTCAGAAAATTAATCCATTTCACAGTTATAGGAATTTTAAAAGTTTGAGCTCAAACAAAACATTTTTAGTCCTTGTTTCTTAGAATGAGGCTTTGAGACTGTAAGTCTGATTTGCTTTTCAGTGTAAAAAGCCCTGGGCTTCTCTGCAGTTTGGACAGACAGCTAGACCTCACTGGGGCAGCGGGTTGTTTAAAGAGTAGATATATAGACACTAGTCCCAGGATTGCATCAGCGGTGCCACAGCCAGCCCTTGCCATAAACTCTCAGTGCACAGACTCCAGCCTCTTCTGTTTCATCCCTTGCCCAGTGAGTAAATTAGGTCAGAAAATGACCACAGAAGGGAAGAACAGAACCTTGGGAGGTTGTTTATGCAGTCAGTAAAGTGGCTCAGTAGCTAACAGTAGAAAATAAAGCAAACCGATAGTGTACACTGAGATTTTTCTCAGAACAAACAGTTCTGTCCACTTTTCACAAAGATACAGCCGAAAAACTTTTACTTTTTCTGTCTGATCTATTTCAACAATTAGTAGTTGATATTGAGGTACACTTAAAGTTGGGGATGTCAGATGGGAAAGTATCTCATTTAATTACATTCGATGTGTATTTCCTTTTGTTTTTAAGATTTTATTTATTTGAGAGAGAGAGACAGATAATGAGAGAGAGCACGAGTGGGGAGGAGAAGGAAGAGCTCAGCAGGGAGCCCGATGCAGGGCTCCATCCCAGCACCCTGGGATCATGACCTGAGCCAAAGGCAGACGCTCAACTGACTGAGCCACCCAGGTGCTCCCAGTGTGTATTTTATGTTCCTATGTCCACTGTGTACAGAAATCTGCTCCTCAGCCCCTTTGAATATCAGTTTAGTAGTTGTCTGGCTATTTTCCTGTGAGCACCAGTGTGCCTTTGCCAGTTTTCTAATTCTTGCTTTTCCTCCCTTTGTGGCCTGACCTGCTTCTCTTCCCTCAAGGTATAGGATACATGTCATTCTTGTATAGCTTTCCCTCTCTTACCCCCATGGCTGCCTCCAGCCCAGGGGGGAGGTCTTGCTCCTCCCCGTGACGGTCCTGAGAAAGAGTGGGATCCACACGTGTTCTCCCTTTTTTTTTTTTAAACATTTTTTTTAAGGTTTTATTTATTTGACAGAGAGAGACAACGGGAGAGGGAACACAAGCAGGGGGAGTGGGAGAGGGAGTAGCAAGCTTTCTTCTGAGCAGGGAGCCTGGTGTGGGGCTCGATCCCAGGACCCTGGGATCATGACCTGAGCCGAAGGCAGACGCTTAACGACTGAGCCACCCAGGCACCCCACGTGTTCTCCCTTCTAATGAGAAGGAGGAAGCGTGGCTGCCATGCTGGGCAGGAGCCCTAGCACATGAAATTCAGCCAACTGGTTTTCAGTTTCTGCTCTGCCACTGAATATGTGACCTTGGGCACCTCCTGTGCCTTACTTTCTGCCTCTGTCAATTGGGGTAATAATAGTGCCCCCTCGTAGATTATTGTATTAGAAAAGATAATACATGTACATTACAACATAACATAATGATTAAGAGCATGTACTCTGGGGCCAAACTGCCTGTGTTTGAACAACCCTGATCCAGTACTTAGGCAACTTAGGCAATCTTTCTGGTTTTCAGAGTCCTCATCTGAAAAATGAGGTAAAAAATAATACCTCCTACAGTCTCATGTTTAAAAAAAAAAGTGCCTACTGTTAGGGTTTGTTGTAAGAATTACATTAATTAAAATACATAAAATGTGTAGGCCAGTGTCTGGCAAATAGTAAACACTATGTAAATATTAACTGTTATTAGGCTTACGGAATGGTCCATGATATAGTATGCACTCAAGAAATAGTTGCTATTTAACAAGGATTTCCCCCTTTCCAACAAAATTCTCTAAGTGGAAAGCAGAAAGGATCTGAGGTTTAAAGAGAAGAAAGCAAATTAAAGCCACAATATGGTGCCACTGCCCCCCGCCAGGATAGTTACAATGAAAATGACAATACTCAGAGCCAAGAGAACTCTCACAGCTATCCATAGTTGGGTGTAAGTTAGTACAGCCACTTGGGAAAACTGGTGGTATCTGTTAAGGCTGAACTTAATGCGTGTTCTTAAGCCAGCAAATCACTCCTACGTGCATATGTACCCAACAGAAATGGCTGTTTGCACCAAAAGACAAGAATGTAGCAAGAATATTCATAGGAACATTATCCTTATGCAGTCAGTAAAGTGGCCAGTATCCTTAATAGCCAGAAACTGGAAGCAGCTCCAATAAGTCCTGTATGTTTATAAAATGAAAGAAGAATGGATGAATTATAACAACGTGTGTATGTGTATTACACAGAATGTCTAAAAGAAGACAAACACAGAAGAGTACATACTGTATAATTGCTTTTCTTTCCTTTTTTTTTAGTTCAAAAACAGCCCAACTAGTCTATGGAGTTAGAAGTCGGGGTAGTGGGGCCCCTTTCACAAGGGGATGGTTTTACTAGAGTGTTCCTGAAGTTCTGTTGCTCCATCTAATTCGATAGTTACATGGGTGTATTTTCTTTGTGAAAATTCATTCATGCTTCTGATTTCTGCATTTGTATCTATGTATGTTAAACTGCCGTTTTAAAATATATATTAAGTCAGAAGACTTGAGAATTTTGGAAATGATAATTTACTTTTCCAACTTGCCAAGTGTCCCTAGAATTAAAGACTTAGTACTTTTAAAGAATATAGGTGTTTGGGGGCACCTGGCTGACTTGGTCGGAAGAGCATGCGACTCTTGATCTCGGGGTCGTTAAGTTCGAGCCCCACATTGGGTGTAGAGAAATAAATAAAAAATACCTAAAAGAAAATGTAGGTTTTCACTACAAGGCAGAAAATGATCCAATCTGGCTTCTGTCCTTCTTAAATTGTGTCTTCAAGGCCATAAAAATAATAATTAGTTTTCATTTATCTTGCCACCTCATTATAATATTACAGATTACATGAACTATATGTGTAAGTTATATAAAAAACCGGTTTGGAGCTAGAATCAATCTTTTTAACTTTTATCAGAGTGTGATGCACTGACATCCTACAGATCAGATCTGGTGGTTTTAAAGTTTGGCTGAAGAAGTAGTTTTATGGGCTCCAGCTGTGAGATGTAAAGGGCAAGTTTGAAGGTGCTTGAGTGAGCATTAGTTGTAATCGACACTTATGCTTATTGCTTATTGCTTTGGTGTCCATGACACCGTCTTAGTAACTTAGTGAGTTTCATCTTTGAATGGAATTTGTTTTGTTTAGTCTGCATTGTGCCCAGATTGATGATCGAAAATCTTACACTTTCGCAGAACATTGCTTCATAGCTCTTCCCTTTTCTACTATTTTTATATCATATGAATCATTGCACATTTAAGCCATCTGCAAGGCCTGAATGGAATGAGATAAAAGCTGCCATCACTTAGATTGACACTTGAAAAGCTAGCACTCATTCCAAGTTTATTCCTGATAATCCTTTATATTTTAAAGTCTCGAACTTCATTTCAAGATGGTTGGTAACGTTTCTGAGCCAAAAGTATCTGTGACTCACAGTTTCTTTTACTTGAACATTGGGTCAAAGGGAGGGGATCTGTTCTGCGTCACGCAAAAGAATCTGTTAGGGACTCAGTTGTAACTCACTTGAGATACTTAGAACAGTGAGTTCCACTCTTGGTTTAATCAGCTCCGCGAGCCCTCCAGTTTGGCATGCACTTCATAGGGAATAGTGAAAACCTAAGGTTCCTAAACTGCCAGATGAATACTTCAAAATAAATGTGTTTTAAATACCTAGAATGTATCACACCTGTTAGATGTTTGTCAAAAGTATTTCTCTGTGTTGCAACTTTTTTGAGGATTTATCAGGGGGAAAAAAATTCTTGCAGTTTTGCAAAATAGATTGATAGTGCACCCCACGCTTACAGGTACTATTTCACTGTGGGTTTACACAGACCTACCGTTTACATGTTGTCCAGTAGGCTATGCAGGGTCTGTAAAGCCTCTCCCAGCAGATTTTGTAAATGGGGCCTGGGGTCCCTGTAATGATGTCACCTGGAATCAACATGGATTGGGAGGAGAGTGCCGATTGGTTTCAAAGTAGAGGCTGTTCAGGTTGAAGCCAAATGCCCGTTGTCATGAGGTGTCTCCTCTTCAGGAACAGTGTTATGATACTTCGGTGACCCAGTACTCATAAACTCTGGAACTAATAGAGGGAATGAAACATGAAAATATTCCCTTATTTCCTAAAATGGTAGACCAAAAATGCAGTGATCTCAACCATGTACAACAGACTCTTCATTTTCAAAATAGAAAGATCTCAGAAATGGAAAACTCCACTAAGAATCTAAGAATAATGGTACAATTTTTATGTCTTCAATTTTTATATCTTTCATACCTAATGGATCTCCACGTGGTCTTAGGCAGATCACTTAGTATTTTTGTTTTCTTCCATTTCACTAACGTACTGTAAATATTCAAAAGGCTTAAACTTTCTTTATAAATGATAGCAATTTGAACACAGGTAACATTTTTGGTTTTGTTTTTTTCCCTTTGAAGGGCAACTCTAATTTTTGCTTAAAGATGCTTTTGAGAACTGTGTGAAAATGGGGGGGCGGGGCTTTAATTATTTCACATAATTCTTGTGAAGTAATCATATTTATTTTTTGCTCAATGTTGTCTGTTTCTTTGCTCAGCAGACGGAAGGGGGAGCGCAGACAGATGGCCAGCAGTCACAGACACAAAGTAGTGAGAACTCAGAGAGCAAATCCACCCCTAAACGGCTGCATGTCTCTAATATTCCCTTTCGCTTCCGGGACCCCGACCTCCGACAGATGTTTGGGGTAAGTCTCTGGAGTCCTTTTGTGGGTTTTACAGTGAAAATGTAATTTAATCCCAACAATTTAAACCCGATGTATTTTAATAAGTCATTAGGACTTTAGGATAAGACTGCACATAGATTGAGAGAGAGCCTAAGGTAAATCAGTGTTTTCATCAATCTTCAGGAACTTCTGTCACCTAGCACCGTCATTCCTGTCATTCTAGACATGGGCCTTGCAGGTTCTTACATAACAAGGTGACTATGCAATCTGGTTTGCCTGGGACCGAGGGGTCTCTTGGGACGTGAGCCTTTCAGTACTCAAATCAGGACAAAGGTAGTAATCCTTACTTTTCAGAGTGTTACGAGTTCAGTGACCTAATGTCTGTGAAGCAGATAGTACCTGTGTTTCATTTTTACTTTCCTGCTTGTAACTCTGCAAGACCAATATCTAAAACCCGGTGGACGTGGTTAGTTTGCTACCTCTGATGTGTTCTTCCGGCTTCCACTTCCTCCCGAAATCACCGTCATGAAAACAGTGTAACAGCAAAGATTTAAGTTATTGGAAAGTGAGTGATTGCTGGAAGTCGTACCTTTTTTCTGGGCTTATGTGTTGTTGCCAGATTTCATTTGAGCAAACTCTTAACTTGAACTAGGAACAAGAGATCATGGTTTAAAAAAACTTTGTTGCTGTTGCTGCATGGTGCTTTGTCAGGAAAGCAGGCACCCTGCTTGAAGTCCTGGTCGTGGCCGCTTCGTGATGACAAGACCCTGAGGCAAAGTTTTGTCACTGACAGCTGAGTACCTGGAGTATTTTGTGTACCGAAGCCAAGGCCAGCACGGAGATTTAATAATGTTCTTGAAGTACTTAAAGAGCCTTTACACAGAAAACGGTAGCCAACTGTTCATCTCTCCAGAAGAGAAAACAACAGAAAATATAAAGGGCGGCTTAAAGAATTGATATTATATTTAAGAAGAAATTTCCCAGGAGTATGAGTTATTAGGTTCTCTACTGAATTATCAGAGATGATATGGAATCCTAATCTCTGGAGATCAGTGAAAATGGAGTATATTCTCATCTGCCAGAAGTGTGTTTTCTCTCAGGTCAGAAAAGTTGTGTCCATTGAAGATCTGCCTAGGCCAGTTATCAGTGATTTTTGAAATGTATTATGCCCTTCCTATAAGGCTGCTAAATGCAAGAAAGAAAATAAAATGTTCCTTGCAGGGGACACCTGGTAGGGTTGCTCTGTCTTCTGCATGGTTAGTACCTATCCCTTGGAAGGACATCAGCAGTGGGAAAGAGCAAGGATTCCATGCTTCATTTTATTAGCTGTGTAAACTTGACGGATGGCTTCCTTCTGCCTCATTTTCCTTAACCATTAAAGGAAGGCAATCCTTACCCCAGTAGGACGGTATAAGGACACATTAGAAAATGTAAAACGAAAACTCTAAAACACCATTCCAATCTTAGTTGTTTGGATAGGCATAGAAATAAAATTAAATCCCCTCCTACCTAAAATAAGACATTTTCCTTTCTCCTTTAATTTCCTAATGTTCTGTTAAATGATGAAACTGGAATCAAGCCCAGAAGTCTTACTCTAGAAAACATGGGCTCTTAGTACATGTTTTCTGAAAAAGATACTAATGATTCAGCCCAGTGAGAAAGCATGATTTGTCTTGCTCTTTTCATTTTTTAGTGTTTTCATGTTTCCCAAATTCTGATTTAAAATCCAAGTGAAAGAGATAATTTGGGTCTATGAGGCCAGTACTCAGAGGGAAAGATCTTTTTGGAAGGGCCAAAAAGATCCCAGGAGATTTCCTGCACATCCCTTCAGTTCATTTCATCCAAGCATTGAATCATATAGGTTGGTTTGACCCCTTCTCCACGCCTCCTCCAAATAACCACTGTGTTTTAAGTATGCCCCTCCAGTCAGCTATTAAGCTGCCTACCAATACAGTTATTTAGGCTTGGTGTTTTTAGTTTATTTCCCAAATGTTAAAATATTTAATTATAAAACAAAGTTACTACTTAAAATGTTCTTGATGGTGTTCATTGCTGAAATATTAAATTGGCAAATAAATGAAATCATGTATAATGTCCGTGAATGTTTAATACGATGGAAAATAGGATGTAGTCTGTAGAAAAGAGAACAGAGATATGTATTTATTGACTTGGAAAGCTGTTTATAGCATATTAAGTTAAAAAAAAAAAAGAAGTAATACTTGGAAATATGTCCTTAACAATATATGCCTGCGTTTGCGGAGAAGGCTGTGTACCAGAATGGTAAGATGGTGGGTGTGCAGAGGATCTTCATTTTCTGTTTCCTCTTTTCCTTTTTATTTATCTATATTTCCTGACTTTTACAGTGAATATGGTTTACTTTTATAAATTAAAGAAGGAAAAGGAAAACAGCCTTCAGTAGTGTATCTTTTTCCTTAGGATTTGCTTCTTAAAAACTGAGACATTTAAGGCAGCCCGACACGCCGTGCAGCCCCCCAGTCTCCCGCAGCCACCTCCCCCAGGCATGGCACAGGGCCTCACCTCACTGTGGCAGCAGCACGGTACAGCACGCTTGACTTCAAGCTCGGCGCCAAAGCTGATGGCGAGACCGTTCTAAGAGGCCTCCAGTCCATTTTCCAGGAGCAAGGGATGACAGAGTCGGTGCACAACTGGCAAGACCACGGTTATCTAGCGACCTACATCAACAAAAACGGCAGCTTTGCCAGTTTGAGAATTTACCCACATGGATTGGTGTTGTTGGATCTTCAGAGTTATGATGGTGATTCACAAGGCCAAGAAGTTGACAGTCTTTTGAACAAAGTAGAAGAAAGAATGAAAGAATTGAGTCAGGACAGTGCTGTGCGGGTGAAGTGATTACCACCCATAATTCGAGGAGGAGCTCTTGACAGATACTGACCCACTGCTGATGGTCGCCTGGTTGAGTATGACATCGATGAAGTGGTGTATGATGAAGATTCACCTTATCAGAACATTAAAATTCTACACTCGAAGCAATTTGGAAATATTCTCATCCTTAGTGGGGACTTTAATCTGGCAGAGAGTGATTTGGCATATACCCAGGCCATCATGGGCAGTGGAAAAGAAGACTACAGTGGCAAAGCCATGCTGATTCTTAGGGGTAGAGACGGGGGCATATTATGTGAAATAGTCAAACTGAAACCAAAGATGGTCACTGTGGTAGACATTGACCAAATGGTGATTGATGGATGTAAGAAATAATGCGAAAAACATGGGGCAACCTTTTAGACAGTCTTAAAGGAGACAGCTATCAGGTTCTGATAGAAGACTGTATTCCAGTACTGAAGAGGTACGCCAAAGAAGGGAGAGAGTTTGATCATGTGATTAATGATTTGACAGCCGTTCCAGTCTCCACATCTCCAGAAGAAGATTCCACTTGGGAGTTTCTCAGACTGATTCTTGACCTCTCAATGAAAGTACTGAAACAGGATGGAAAATACTTTACACAGGGTAACTGTGTCAATTTGACAGAAGCCTTGTCGCTCTATGAAGAACAGCTCAGGCGCCTCTGTTGTCCAGTGGGATTCTCAAAGGAGATCGTCTGTGTTCCTTCATACTTGGAATTGTGGGTATTTTACACTGTTTGGAAGAAAGCTAAGCCTTGAAGACCTATTTCTCCTAATCATGTGTGCTGCAAATAACCTTCCTGACCTTCATATGCTGTACATGACATCGAAATGAGTCAGGCAATTGATGGTGATTTCTTTCAAGTTTTCTTTTTTTAATTATTATTTTTAATTTAAACAAAGCAAATGGAAAATGTATATTTTGATGCGCTAGGGTGTTAATTTTTTTGAAAGTCAGCTGAAGGATGATTAGACAGCACAGCGAAGGCTGCCAAATGCACTGAACCCCTAGAATGTGATTTTTGTTACTTTTGTGTGTGAGTGCGTGGGCTTTTTGTTTTTGTTTTGGTAGACTTCGAATTTGGTTGTTTGGAGGAATGAACATCATTGTTTTGTTCTGGAGGGAAGTTCTTTGATTGTGTTTCTTTCCCCCAAAATTGACTTAGCTATTAAAATTTGATGCTTATAAGAAAGAGTTAAGAAAAAAATGAATAGCAGTGCTTCAATTAAAATTATAAATGAGGAAAAAAAACTGAGACATTTAAAACATTAAACACATAGTTAGGAAACCACCAGTTCTTGTCCATGAAGAAATATGCAGGAGGGTGACACTGTGAATATCTTCTGAGAACAGCTTCTACCATACAGAGGTGGATAATGCATGAGTGGGTGAATTGAAAAAGGAGTGAAAAAAGGAGAAATTATCATCTCATTGATGAGGGAAAACCAGAAACTGGTGTTGGGACCTACCAACAAGTAGAAACATGGAAGTTGAATAAGCAGTTGGAAAAAAAAAACAAAAAACAACTCTTCCTTTTTCAGGAGAAAATAAAGTATGTGGTTAAAAAGCTGACCATGAATAAATGTTTTTATTTTTGTCTCTGCAGCAGTTTGGCAAAATCCTAGATGTAGAAATAATCTTTAATGAACGTGGCTCTAAGGTAAGCTCCATCTCAGTATTAAGTGTGCCTGGTTTCTTTTTAGTTTTGTTTTAAATAGTTAAATAATCAGAAAACTTAAAGCTGTTTTTCAAGCCTGCAAAAAGTATCCCGACTTACCTGGCTTGGATCAGATTATCTCTAAAAATAAGCTACCACATGGCCAGACTTCACCCTAATCATTCAGGTGGGGGAGTGAAGGCGTGGGGGTAAAAGCAGAAGTGTGAGGATGGAGAGGACAAGGGGGGGGTCGGGGCAGGAGACCCCGGCCCTTGAGGGGACTGTAATTGCCCTCACATGCTTACTGTAAAGGGAAAGAGAGGACTCAAGTGAAATTCTATGAGAATTCTATTGTGAATTCTAACAGAACAATTCAGCTTTTTAAAAATCAGACTTGAAATGACATACTTGGAACAAATTTAATATTTCACTTCTTCAGTAGACTTGCTCTCTCTTTTGAATAAATTTGACAAGGCATAAATACAGGGAGTAGTGACTTGGGAATTCACTGTAAGCTGATTTCCTCCTTTGAGTTCTACCCAGAGAGGTAAGATGTAGAATCCCTTCAATTACAAATAGTGAGTTGGGGTTTTTTTGCATCAGAATAAATGTAGTAACACTGCACGATTCGGTATATGTACTCTCTTCTAAATGTGTTCTGTATGAGACCTGAACATTCTAATTAAAACTTATTTCCCCCTAATAATTTACTATTTTAAATTCCCAATCTATATGATTGAGAATTTCCATACACTAAAATAAGCAGCAGTGATTTTAGGAGTCAGGGAATGATGAAGTCTTACAGTGATGTGAAAAAATATTTAATGAACTGAATTTCGAGAAGTTTCATTTGACAGTTTTCTTCTTCCTCGACAAATGAAATACCCCCCACAGACACAATCAGCTGTGGTCAAGCTTGGAAATATTTCCTTGCTCTGTTTTCTTCTACTTGCATTTTTTAGGTTAGAACAGTTTTTGAGTTAATTTTTCATTTGGTCATCTCTCCTGAACTTTGAAATAGCCCTTGGCTATGATTAAATCTCTAAGAATATAATTTGAGAAAAGCTAAGTAAAGCGAATAAATGAGATAATACTTACCTCTTCAGTTTCCTACTCCAAATTCACCATGCCCTGGGAATTAATAGCATATATCTACAGAGTTATATATACACCTCCTGCCCCATCTAAACTGACACAAATGTATGTACTGTTCTAACGCTCCTGATTATTATTCCCTTCCCTTATAGAATGCACTGATAGTGTTTAATTCTGATTATAATAATTCTTTGTTAATTATTAAAGAGGTAATTATACTCTAAGCTTCCAGTTTTCAGTTAAACAAAAAAGATTAATATGCCTATACAGAACTTTCTCCAGCACTTAACTTGGTAAGTATTTTTAAAGTGAAATCTGCTCAGCCTGTAACCAGTAAAACTATTTATGCTTGTGGTTTCTTCACAGTGGATTTCTGGCCCTTTGCTTTTATCTTTTGTGACCTTTTTAGATCCAAGGTGGAAAAATAACAGTGGTTTAGAGATGAGAAGTGCATGAACATATCATGTGATAATTCTTTGCTACACTGTTTATCCAAAGTCATAGTTTAAACGTTTTTAGTTTTAAGTGTAGGCACTTAAGTTGTTAACTAGACCAACAACCCGAAGCCCAGTATGGTTTCATCTGGCAATGGGACCTTGCTCCTTACCAAGAAAATAATTGGATTGAATTCTTGTGAAGCAAAGGAAATTGATCTTTCTTAAGGCTTCTTTCATTGACTTCAAAGGTTTGCCTACTACCAAAAATTGTTTAATTTACCTGATTCGATTGCTTCTCCCTGTAATTTTCATGGTTAAATGACACACGCCTTCCTTTTCTTTTTGGGGAATCTAAAAGCCTGTGCTGCTCCTCTCAGTAAAATGCTGTATCCACACTGCCCCTTTCTCTTTGGGGCTGCTAAAGAATAGACAGACTGTACTCATTGGCCATTGTTCTTAAAACAAAGCACAGAATTCAGAATGGCCTGGATCTGCCTTCAAGGACTGATACAAAATCTGTCTTCATCCTTTGTCCTTCTTAACTGTCACTAAAGTTCTTTCTTGGAATGGGTTCCCCCGAAACTGTTCTGGAGACTTGCTAACAGAGGTTTATTTTGGAGTCAAAACCTGGGTACCTCTTCTGGGATCCACCTCACATAAATTAAAGAGTACTTTTCTTTTTGTAAATTAAGTTTATTTTCTCATTTCTTTTATGTTTATCGTTGACTATAAAATTACAACATGTCTTGAAAGGAACCAGAGATAAGGAGACCTAAGTGGTCCTATTGTTCTCTTTAGAGTTGCTCAGTCTTTTAACTGAATGTACAGAAATTAGCTTTATTGAATTTTTTTGAAACAGTAATGGAAAAACGAGTCACAAAATAATTCCGAGATAAGTGATGCTTACATGTAAAACAGTTATCAGTGAAACAGTTAAATAACTACATGACTCCAAAACAAAAAGCAACTCTTTACCATGTCTTCTTTTTTATAATGAGACTGTCCGCGTACGGTTTTAGAACATACCCACCTAAAAACATAGATGAACACTGTTGTGCTCCCTTGCCCGTCCCCATCCCCCCCCAGTGTCCGGCTTGTCGGCATTCTGCTTTCTCAGCTTGCCTGAAAAAGTTGTTGTTGAGTATCTTCCTTTTTTTGTCTTTGACCTTCATATTCTAGATTTGATTTTCCTAGATTATGGAATGAATGTATATCATTTACATTCATACACAAGCAAAAATATATACTTAGATTATTTCGTGTGATTTTTTAAAAATCTTTTTTTTTTTTACTCCATACTCCTTTGTAAAAGCATAAAGTCAGTCATTTAATTTTCTATGATTAACTAAAACAAAGGTAGACTATCCTTTTGAAAATGTTCAATTAGGACGTATGATGAAAAATGCTACCCCTGCCAAGAAATGGAAGTAATATACTCAAATAGAATCTAGAAATGATTATATTTTTATGTATAACTTTATTGATTCCCCAGATATCACCAGTCACAACAAAGTATTACTATAAACAATAGAAAGATAATATATTGGCAGAGTGACCATATGTCCTGGTTTATCCAAAATAGTCCCAGTCTGTAGCCATTGTCTTAGCATGATTATTGGTGTCCCCTTCCTCCCTCAAGGTACTCCAGTTTGAATGATAAATTGTATTGCCCCCTCCTTATAGATTCTGTGAATAACAACTTTTAAAAAGCACCCTTTTCAAAACAATTAGAAAAACGTGATTTTTTTGGGGCGCCTGGGTGGCTCAGTTGGTTAAGCGACTGCCTTCGGCTCAGGTCATGATCCTGGAGTCCCGGGATCGAGTCCCACATCGGGCTCCCTGCTCGGCAGGGAGTCTGCTTCTCCCTCTGACCCTCTTCCCTCTCATGCTCTCTATCTCTCTCATTCTCTCTCTCTCAAATAAATAAATAAATAAATAAAATCTTTAAAAAAGAAAAACGTTATTTTTAATGTCCAGACCAAATAGTTGATTAAAAGAACATATTCACTAATAATCTCCTGTATTTCCTTCCAGTCTTTTTTCTCACATAGAATCTTAAACAGAACTCTAAATAATGGTTACCTAGTTCAACTTGACTTTGCATTCTCTGCTAGATACTTTTAGTGACTGAGAACTCATTGCTTTTCAAAATTTTAAGTTTTACTTAAATTCCAATTGGTTAATGTGCAGTGTAGTATTAGTTTCAGGTGTACCATATAGTGATTCAACACTCCATATATCACCTGGTGCTCATCACAAGTACACTCCTGAACCCCCATCACCTGTTTCACCCATCCCCCACCCACCTCCCCTCTGGTAACCATCAGTTTGTTCTCTGTAGTTAAGTCTCTGTTTTTTTATTTGCCCCTCTCTCTCTTTCTTTTTCCCTTTTGCTCATCTGTTTTATTCCTTAAATTCCACATATGAGTGAAATCATACAGTATGTCTTTCTCTGACTGACTTATTCAGACTTTCCACCATTCTGTACACTATCACCCAGCCCCATAACAATTTGTTTGTGATAATTATCACATATAATTATCTTATTAAGTAAAGATGTACACATTCTAATGTTTATATTTTCCATAAAGCTTTGTCAACCTACTTCTGGTGTGGTTGTTGCTCGAAGGGACATGTATCATAAATACTGAATGTGTAGGAGCTCTTCACATCTTCAAACAGTGCCAACTGTTAAGTTCGCTAAAGGACCACAGACCAGATCGCAGCAACCATTATTGAGATTTCTAGCAAGTTTTTAGCTCACGTGTTCTCATTACTTCTCACAGGTGTATATCTGGAATGATGGGGATCTGAATTTGGGTTAGACTTCAGTTTAGGCTGGAGTTAGGGAAAATAAAGCCTCTAATCCCATCCTCAGACACAAGTAATGTGCTATAATTTCTTGCCTGTTTCCCTGGATTTTGATTTCATGCAAAGGGAAATTATTTATTTCTTTCAAAATATTGTCAAAAGGCTGTCTTTGAAATTGCACTAACTAGGCCTTTGCTTTTCAGTAAAATTTGATAGGTAATGCTGAGTTGAAATGTTTTTCATTATACTTAAAACTGAATTAACAGGGCATGTGTTTCCAAAGGGCTTAGTTTATTTTCTTTGTTATCATCTTATGGGTTTTAGTTTTCTTTTTCTTTTCTTTATTTTTTAATTTCTATGTTCCGGCCATACCCAGGAGAACATCTGCTTTTGATTTCTCCCTTAAAAGTTACATGGTAAATTTTCTTTCTCATTCTTCTGAGATGGAAAAACTCAAAGATTATACAAATTTAAGAATATTTTTACAATGTTCATCCTATTGCTTGTTATTTATTGCAGTCTGAGGCCAGACTAAAAAGATGGCAGTTATTCGGTTCCTATAGGCCCTTGATGATAAATGAATGTCAAGACAGGTGATAAAATGTTTGTCACACTCAGTAGAAATTTTGACCACAACCATAATCCCAATAGACACACCATTCCTCAGTTTTCACAAGGCAGCTAAGATAGGGGTAAATCACTAAGGGAACGCTGGTAACACAGAGGAGTTTGGGAACTGAGAGCTGTAGGTTATAGTATAAAGCATAGAGACCTGCATTGTCCAATACAGTGTCAGCGTTGAGCACTTGAAATGTGGCAAGTCTAAATTCAGATGTGCTTTCAGTATAAAATACACATGATTTCAAAGACTTAGCAGAAAAAAGGAATATCTCATTAATGTTTTTTATATTGATGCCATGTTGAAATGATAGTATGTTGCATATATTTTATTTTAAATAAAATACATTATTGAAATTACTTTAATATATTTTTACTTTTTTAATGTGGCTAGTAGAATGTTTAAAATTATATATGTGGCTTGTGTTTTATTTCTGTCAGACAGCACTGGTATAGACAAACATATCAACATCGGGTTTTTTTTATTAAAAAAGAAAAGTTTACTTTTTTATCTCTTTTTTATCTTCTTAAATACCTGAAATGTTTACTCTTCTTAAGAATTTGAGATTCAGTCTTTGACTTTGTAGCTCTTCCAACTGGTTATTTTGTTTTCCTGACTGATATATTATGTAATCATTTTGGGGGGAGCTCTTCTAAGGAAAAAGTGTTAAGTTTAGACATAACTTTATTAAATTTTTCTTTTCAAAGCAAGAGATCCAAATGACCAAACTTAATGCGAATTAGATTTCCAAGAATGAAGGGACATTAAAAACATAATTTCATGTAAGCATTATTTTCCTGCTAGTAACTTTTTAAGCCTGGATAATCTGAATATCCTCAGCTCAGTTCCTGGCACATTTTCAGAAATGCTAAATTTTATTGAAGGAATGGTACATTAAACTTTTTTTCAAGTTTTAATTAATCTTTTTTTTTTTAATTTTATTTATTTGACATAGAGCACAAGCAGGGGGAGTGGCAGGGAGAGGGAGAAGCAGGCTCCCCACAGAGCAGGGGGAGCCCGATGTGGGACTCGATCCCAGGACCACGGATCATGACCTGAGCCAAAGGCAGTAGCTTAACCAAATGAGCCACCCAGGCACCCTTGAGTTAATATTCTTGAAACCAAATTGTAGTTAAGTTGATGGAAAAGCTAAAGTTTCAACACAAGAGGAAAGTATTAAAGAACAGTAGTCTAAAAATGCTGGCTAGACTTCTCACCTTTCTAATCACAGACTTCTGAGAGATATATGTTAATTTCCTATTGTTTCTGAACAAATTATCTTCCAAGTTGGTGGCTCAAAAATACAGATTTATTATCATACAGTTCTGGAGGTCAGAAGTCCAAAATGGGTCTCACCAAGCTAAAACCAAAGTGTTTCAGGGCTGCATTCTTTCAGATGGCTCTAAGGGATAATCCCGTCCTTGCCTTTTCCAGCGTCTAGAGGCGGCCCACATTCTTTGACCTATAGCCCCCTTCCATCTTCAAAGCCAAAAATGGCCAGTTCAGTCTTTCTCAGGCTGGTGCACTTTGATTTGGACTCTCCCGTTTCCCTCTTTAACTTATAAGCAGCCTTGTGATTACATTGGGCTCACCTGGATAATCCAGGATAATCTCCCTATCTCAAGATCATTAATTTAATCACGTCTGCAAAATCTCTTTTGCCAGGTAAGGTAGTAACATTCACAGGTTCCAGGGTTTAGTATGTGGACAACTTTGGGGGGCCGTTATCCGGCCTGCCACGAAGTCTATTTATCTTCAAAGGAAAGAAGGAAATCTCCTTACTTCTGTCTCATCAGGAAGTCCCAAAGTATCAGCAAGACCTTCTTCATCCTTTACCCTAGGTGAAGATTGCTTCATTTTGTATCTTTGGTGTCTTGATTAGCATTTCCTTTGGAATACAAGCACTTCTGCTGGCTGTAAAATGTCAGTGCTTATGATACCACCCTGAATTCTTTTGGCTGCAGTTACTACGTCACAGATGCCCTTGTCAGCCCATTACAGAGCGGAGGCTCACAGAACACATTTAGCAATTAGATTTGAAAAAGAAAACTAGAAGGATTTTAGGATGAATGCAGTTTAGTTAATAGAATACTGAACTTAGGTTTCAAAGCTTAATTTCTAATTTTCTCACCATTAGCTGTAGAAAGAAGCCACCTGGAAGGAAGAAGGCCTTGTTGGTGCTTGGGTGTTTAACCTCAGTTTGATTTACTTTCTTCGTCTTAAAAGTGAAAATAACAGATTTATCCTTTCTGTACCCCATGGTTGTATTTAAAAGACAAACAAGTATGTGAGTGTATGGGTGTGTAGATCTAGATAGTCCTAATGCCAGTACTAAAAACCTCTGGTATTAGTCTCCACATCATCTGTTATCCAGCTACTAACTTACTGTTTATTAATTTAACCCAAGGCATATAAGTATGAGGCTGTGAGAATCAGCTGAAATACAGTTTATAATACTTCTACAGTGTGATATAAAAACTCATTTCTACCTGTGACCTTTCCTGAAAGGTTCATTTAACTTTTCTATTGGAGGATTCTCCAGGATTGGAGAGCTGGTTTACTGTCTTCAGCAGATGGCTAGTGTAGATGACAAACAAACGATGTCATTAATTAGTAACTTGAGATCATATACCTCAAGTTGTCGATGTGTCTGTAACATGTTGGTATCAAAATTTGTTTCTGAAAATGTTTGATATTTTCAACATATATTTTTAAAGAAAATATTAACTAAAATTACCTGTAGTAGTCCACCTCAAGCAGCGCAGCATACATTAAGAATTTTCTGTCAGCTTAGCATTGCACTTTCTAAGGTATTTGTGGTGATACCCAGATTACAGGTAGAGATAATCCATTGGGATCCTCCATGGATCGCCACTCAACCATATAGTCATGGTTGTAGAATGGAGAATGCATGGTTGTAGAATGCAAGGTAATAAGATCCTTCAAAATGATGGAATTGCTTTTCTAAAATCTTATTGAGCAATGCACACTATTGACCATCTCAGTTAAGAACATGTTTTATATATATATGGAAGGACTCATGGAAGGCAGCAGAGCAGAACTTCAATAAAAATAACAAAGGGTTCCAGGTTATCCTACAGTGGAATGTTCAAAGAATGCTAGAGGGACAATGCAGCTATTGAGAAATAGGTCTTTCCCAGAAAATCCTAAGAATTTACTACTCTACACTTGTAAATAGCTTGAGAAAATGTTACAGTTGCAAAGTAGAAAGAGAAAGACAAAGCACCTAGGATGAAACTGATACAATGCTTGATGAAATAGTCATGTAAATATATAGTAAATCCTGCTGCTTTTGGCATTGATGGTATGATTGTGACCAAGACAGTCTTTTCAGATAAATGTGAATATAGGAGTAAGTGGGTTAACTCCCTGGTTCCTGCTTTATCCACTTAGTGAATTGAAGCTCCATACAACTTATTTGTGTACAGTGCACAAATAAATTAATTCTAACTCAGAGGAGCACTGCATCGCTGTTTTATGGTGTTCTTTTCCTGTTGAACAGTATACAACTGATGTCACTAACCCATCTCATTCGCACTGCCTTTTGATTATTCCTTCTTTCCCTTTACATGGAAAATTACTAATACATTTAGTAGCAGATGTAGGCTTCAACAAATGTGTAATCTAGGCACATTTGGATAAGCTATTTTCTGGAATTCAGCTGAACCTATTTTTGCTCTGAGTGCCAGTCTGGTTTAAAATTCATTGAAGAAAAGGCATAATTGGCCACTACTTAGTGATATTTTCATTAGCTTAGATGAACATGGTGCTCTTCTTCTTCTGCACCCAGTACCTAGAGAATTGTAGATCGAGGCTATGTTTTAAATTATTCTGTTCCCAGAAGAATTATGGTGATACAAGCAAACAGGCAGAGTGGAGCTAAAATTGTATCTCCTAAAAACCCCATTATACAGTGATTACTCCTAAAGGGAAGGCTTCATGTGGAAGTTACTGGGGAATGATGGATTTAATTAAGTATTTTTAGCATTACATAAAGGGACATGTAAATTAACAGCATGAATTGAAAGAGAAAGAACATCTAAAAGAAATGTTCAGATTCTTGGTGGAAGAGTTTGACCCGAGTAGCTCTGTACTTAAATTTTGGTCTGGCCTCACATGCTTTATGTTTTATTTTATTATTGTTCTTGTTGTTAATTACATTATCATTATTATTGTTGTTGCTATTATTGTTATTATTATTACTACTACTACAGTTCTGTATTCTGTTATTGGATTTAATTTCCCTTTACCAAATATGCATGGACCAAAAATATGACTTTGAGAGAGTATTGCTGAGTCGATGCTGATGTCAGTTTCATACTGTGATATTTTTTCTCTGTTTACCAAGAGATCAATATTTCAATATAACGATGTGCATGTTTTCCCCCCTTCTCCCGCTGCATGCAGGGATTCGGGTTCGTAACTTTCGAGAATAGTGCTGATGCAGACAGGGCCAGGGAGAAATTACACGGCACCGTGGTAGAGGGCCGTAAAATCGAGGTGCATGTCTTCAATAATTCAATTTCTGGTTTATATTTTTATTTCTCTTTTTGTGTATTCCCTCACTTATTTCACATTTGGAGCCCTGTCTTGTGTGTGTGTGTGCACACACGCATATGTGTGTGTGTCTGTGTCATTCACCTTCTTGCACTAAAATGTGTAAAAGTAACACTTCTGTCCTCCTTTCCCCATTTTTTGGTTGCTGGGGGGGTTTCATTTTGATTTACTCGTGTGCGTGTACATGTATATATGTTTCTTATTTACTTTTTTCCTCCAAAATGTTCATCCTTCTGCTCTTTTGATTTTTTTCCTTTGCTTCAGTTTGCGAGACTCCATATGAATACCTGTGATCAGGCCAAAATAAAACTAACTTTATAAATGTCTAAAAACTATCCAATTTGTGACATTGTGTCCTGTAATTAATCAAAGAGCCAGCCAATATCCTCTCTCTCTCGGGCGGCCAGTTCGCCTCCATGTGCGTGTGATAAGCAAGGAGTACAAGCCTGCTGAGATGGTGGGGAGGGAAGAAAGAACCCACAACTCGTGGAGTTTTTAAGTATATTTAATATCAAGAATTTCTCCAGTTAATGGATAAAATCCTCAGACCAAGGGTTTGACGGCTGCCTGGCAAATGTGCTGTGACTGTGTTCACGGCAGCCACGTGGTGTTCGCCAACCCTTTTGAAGAACGCAGTGAAGGTTAACTGGCTCCTTTCCCCTTTCCCAGTTTTTAAAAGTATGAACTATAAAAGCCACCATTTTGAGTAAGATGTCTGCATATTTTGCTTTTTCCCTCCCTTTCCGATGGTTTAGCATTTAGGGCCCTTCACTTGACTCACTCTTTCCATGGTAACTATACACAATGCTGGCGATGGTGCCCGTTGGCGGTAAGTGAAACAAAGCGCTAGAGAAGAAGCTTTTTCAATTGTTAATTACAAAACAATTAAATAAGAAAGAAAAAGTCCATCTGCCATCTCACATTAACACTACAAAATGTGATTTGACTTGTTCCTCTTCCTTTTCCTTTCCCCCTTTTATTTTCAATGCTCTTGAGTAATGCCGCCTGGACTTTGGATGTACATATTGTTTGTAGCAGTCTGAGCTGTTTGATTACTGACATCATGGTGATTTTTTTTCCCCTTGCACATCTTACTCAGAGTTACTGAGCTCCAAGTTTGGCCGGTTTTAGTAATGCACTTCCTGCCCCTGCTTCCTTCCCCTTCCCCAGACCTCTGTAGCTCTGACTGTTCTTTCCTTGCCCGCAGCACCCCTCCTGACTTCCTCTCTTCTTTCCCCTGCCTTCTTGCTCTCTTTCCCCAAGTTCTGTCCCCATTCTTTTCCCTCTGTCTCTCCTACCCTTTCTCTGTTTCCTGCGGCAATTGGTCTCTTGCTGACTGGTGGTTTCTGACTGGTTCTGGCCATTTTCCTTTTAGCGCTTGGGTGCATTCTGCTCTAGTGGCTAGTGTAAGCTCTGACCCCATTCTAATCCTTGTCTGTGAGAACCTCGCTCTTCACTCTCTCCCCTCTTTCCAAAACCGATTGTTTTTTCTTTCTTTTATTTGTGTGTGTGTGTGTTAACTGCATGCTCTCAGTCTCATCATTGTTGTATCCCATTCTTTCTTTTTAAATGTGAAATGTTTCTATTATTTGGTGGGTCGAACTAGAGTAAATGGAGTTTCTTTTCCTCACAAAGGAAGATTTCTCCTCTGCCAATCCTAAAAGACCTATTAAGACATTTTTTGGTTCCAGTTCCACCTAAAATTGGTCTTTCCATAACACAGATTTATAACCATACAAATTTAACTTTAATGTAAATCCCCAGAGGCAAAATAAGACATTTATATTTGGTGTGTTTTATAATTCTTTTAAAAGCTGGCCTGTTCTCTGACTTGACCACACGATATACAGCCAGGTTCTATGGTGATGCTGCACCCTCCTTGCAAGAGCTTTAGGCTGGTTCTGACCCTGGGCTGCAGTCTTCTGGCTTTGAGGCTCCATTCATCTTTTTGTCATCAGCACCATCTTTGTAACATCTGCTTACCCTAGCACTGAGAATGCTCTAAATTCTGCACTTCTGTAATGAGGGTGGAGAGAACCATAAAACAAAAGAAACCGAAGCTTTATTTTTTCCATTAAGTGCCTCATGTAAAGGCCTTCTGAAAACATTAGTCTTAAGTGGATAGACCACATACTCTAGAAAATACAGCCCGGTCCTGAAGATGGTCAACATGGGATTCTAAGTTTTGATATTTTTTTAACTCCTCAAACAGTAAAATCTTACACAGTCATCAAAAATGATGAACATTAGAACAGGTGAAATCCATAGATTTATTTTCTTATCTTACTGTAAACCTATTCCCTGACCCATATGGCAAGCCTCTGTTTTATCAATGAACTTCAAAGTTCATGCGCAGAGTTGTTCCCAATTTACTTTTTCCCATATTTTCCATAATGCAGAGACTTCTCTGTTTAAGAGATCACCAAAGAACTTGCAAATGTATCTTTCCTTTTGATACCTTTAGCCCACGTTTTCCATTTGGAGACCAAGAAACTGCATTTTACTCTTGTTAGCCTCATTTTATAAACACTTTAATTAAAATACTATATATTAATATTTTATATTGCTATATTAATTATTTAAAATCAATGTTCTCTGAAATTTACATTTTATTAAACTGAGTGCTGTGTTACCGGATGAGCAACTTCATGTTCCCTAATATGGTCTACTTTCTCCCTGCCCCTTCTGTTTCCTTTATGTTTTTAGGTGAATAATGCTACAGCGCGTGTAATGACCAATAAGAAGATGGTCACACCATATGCAAATGGTAAGAGATGACAGATCATCCTCAGAAGGGTGTCATTTATTCTTGTATTAATATGTGAACTTTGGGTAATCATCAAAGAATCTCTTGATTTCAGTCCTATGGCAGTTTGTTTCATTTACATTGAACTATTTTCTTTACTAGGAGAGTATTTTTACAGTTTTGTCTTTTTACAGCTAACTTGTTTCTTAGAATTAAGCTTAGTTTTTCAGTTACTAAGCTGTAATGACCTCAGTAAAGTTCATCATACACAGAGTGTAAACACGTCATTTGAGGTTACCTGTTAACCCAGTGGGGTCCCACTAAGGCACCCTCATTTTTAGCTGCTACTGTTCTTTGTGATATGATAGGCTTGTCCGTAATACGTGCCCACCAATGTTCACTTTTACTGCTGATCCCTACCCGCATCTGAGCTTGAGTGGAATAATTCTTGACCCCTGCTCTCCTGTTAAAAGTATGCCCTAGAGAGAACAGCCATGGTGCGCATGCGTGCATGTGTTTTCCATCTTCTGTCCCAGGACTACATGTTATAGAGTGGGTTTCATACATGTTTCTCATTAAGAAAGAAACCTTGTGAATATTTTGCCTAACAAAAGCAGAACCTGTACATCATTTGTCAGTTTAGTCTAGACCCATGTCATCTGATTGATAGACCTGACTTTGAACCTGCAGTGCAACAGTGGTCTTGCCAGCTGTGCTCTACAGGGCCTTAGGGGGAGGGGTGGGGAGGAAACCCACAGGCTGGGTCTTAAGGCCTGCAGCAACTCCTTCTCTGTCATACATTTTAGCGTTCTGCATGAAATTTTATCTAGAATCGAATGGGATGTTTGCTGCTGCCTTTTAAAAGTTTGAATCTACTGCTAGAGTATGATTGTGCAGGTAATGTCTTAACTCAAATATAAGTATCTCAGTATATTCCGTGATGTCTTCAGTAGATACATTTAGGCCACCTTTTCAAACAGATGGTATAAATCAGCATAATTTGCATTTATTAGCATAATTTACATTTTCCCTACCCATTTTATCAATGGTATATCATGTGATACCACCACCTCCCCCTTTACCTCTTGTTTGTTTTGTTTTGTTTTGTTTTGTTTTGTTACACTACCATCACAAAAACAACTTTCTGGGATGCCTGAGTGGCTCAGTTGGTTGAGCGTGTGCCTTCGGCTTGGGTCATGATCCCAGGGCCCTGGGAGTCCCACATCCGGCTCCTTGCTCAGTGGGGAGCGTGCTTCTCCCGCTTCCTGTTGCTCTCCCTGCCTGTGCTCGCTTGCTCTCTGACAAATAAGTAAAATCTTTAAAAAAAAAGTTTGCAATTTTGATAATAACCCCAATGTAAACAAAATAGGAAGGAGAAGCAAAGTATGTCAAATTTCCTTTAGATCCAGGGAGAATGGTGTCGTAGAAAGAGTCACTGACTGGAATTTAGAAGACAGAAATTCTACTTCTAGATTTGATTCTTCATTTTGCTCTGTGTCATTGGGCCAATTTTTTTTTTTTAAGATTTTATTTATTTGTTTGTTTGTTTGACAGAGAGACGGGGCCAGGGAGAGGGAGAAGCAGGCCTCCCGCCAAGCAGGTAGCCTGATGCAGGGCTCGATCCCAGGACTCGGAGATCGTGACCCGAGCCCAAGGCAGTCACTTAACCAACTGAGCCACCCAGGCACCCCTGGGCCAGTTTTTTTAACCTGATTCTGTTTTTGTCTCTATTAATTGGCAGTCACAGAATTTTAGCACCTGAAGGCACTGTGGAAGTCATCAAAACCCAGCCCTCTTAGCTTATTATTTAGGAAATTAAGCCCAGAGAAGTACAGTATTTACTTGCCCCAGCTGTGGTACCTTTCTTAATTCTCCCTTTGGGTTTTGTAAAGGTCAAAATACATTGTAAATTGTACAAAACTAAACATATTCCAAGTATTTTTTTTTTTTAAGATCTTATTTATTTGACAGAGAGCAAGCGAGAGCAGGAACACAAGCAAGGGAAGAGGGAGAAGCAGGCTTCCTGCTGAGCAGAGAGCCCGACACAGGGCTCCATCCCAGGACTCTGGGATCATGACCTGAGCTGAAGGCAGATGCTTAACAACCGAGCCACCCAGGCACCCCCATTCCAAGTATTAGTGACAGCATACCATTATATACCATTATTAAAATGTATATTATTACATAAGGGAATACTTAAGTAATAATGCCATTGGCAGGAAGGAAAAAAGTCATTTTTTGAATATTATTCTAAATTAATATTCAAGCCTAACAGAGCCAAACTTTACAGACCTATAGCTGCTTGTGGTTAAAGCTTCTGAGAAGAGTGTGCTAGGTTCCTTCTGGTGAATTCTCAGCCAGCAGTTTAGTTTACGTTGGTTAGAATCACTTGATTTGTCTGACATTGCAGAACATTGTGTTCTTACAACTCCAGTAGGATTTGAACCGAGATATTTGCTCAACTTCTATGTAAAATAATGTGCTCACCATCTATGAGCACAATAAATAATGAATGGGGGATTGGATTGGTTCAGAATGAATGAGTTTTCTCTTGAATACTGTCTCCATTCTTTCAGAAAAATAATGGAGCATGTTTGCTTACTTATGTGTAAAATTCTTATAAATGTCTATTGATTAAAGTTTTCATCTGGAATTCTCCTTAACTATCAGTGGGCAGTAGTACATTTTTCTTTTGTAACTCCTGCTACATTCCTATAAATATAAAAAGGGGGAATGAAGAAATAAAGTTGACATCAAACCTAATGTCTGGGAATACTTAAAGTTTATAAATGCTTAGGCTGATGTTCAGCAGCAGTCTAGTATCCTTCAGCTAAAACGACTGGTTAAGTATGTGCATTACCAGTAAAATCCCAAGACATGCATGAAGTTGGGGATGTACCTTGAATTTTATTACTGCGTGTCTCTTCTTGTTCACCTGCCTGAGGTTAATCAACCAAATTCCAATGGTAAATCCCAAAGAAAGGGGATTTTGGCTTACCCAGATTTGCATCAGCATGGTATGATTGAACACAGAGCCAAAGATCAGCTCAAACTTGAATTCAGAGGATACCTTTATAAAGCAGCGAGAGTAGCGAATAGTGTGAAGATAATGTATAAGAAAATGCATCACAGTGTGGTGTAGAATGACATATTCTGCCTTTCTCCTTTTTCTAAAAATAATACATTCTGAGCAGTTCTATGAGAGAGACCATGCCAGAGCCCAGGGTTTATTTATATTTCTGATATTTCTTTGTCCTTCTCTCATTCCTTCTCCGTCTTCCTACTTCCCTCCCAGTTTTTCTCTCCCTCCAGTTTTCGCCCATACTTACCCCTGTCCAGCTCCTCATTATCCTCCCCTCACTGTGCTCCTCCTGCTTAAAGATGCTCAGCTGTGGAAATGCCTGCCCCGCCCCCAAACCTCCCAGCTGGCATTTACAGAGAAGATGGTGATGGGTGGAGATAAGCCCAGGGGTATCTGGAGCCAGCTTGCACATGCCCTCATCACCCCTTTTCCCCATGTTCCTCACGTAATCTTAAATGTTCACTGTCCTCTCTTCCCATTTCAGGTTGGAAATTAAGCCCCGTAGTTGGAGCTGTATATGGCCCTGAGTTATATGCAGGTAGTATTTCGTTAATTTTTCCATTTGTGAGCACGTTAACTGTAACACATCTGTTGTTGTTCAATTTACTATTCTTTGTAATCTTTTTGCATTTTTTTAATTTTTTTTTAAATGCAATCAGCATCCAGCTTTCAAGCAGACGTGTCCCTAGGCAATGATGCAGCAGTGCCCCTATCAGGAAGAGGGGGTATTAACACTTACATTCCTTTAATCAGTAAGTAGCCTATGTCGGCCTGGCGTGGATTTTGACTGTTGTGAGTAAACAGTGATGTGTGCTAGTCTTTTTTTTCTTCCTCGAGTATAATATGTAACTGAAGAGGAGGCCTTCTCGAGAGAGTTAAATGCTGTCACAGTGCCCTGTCCTGCTTAACCTGTGTTAGAATCTTTCTGACCAGATATTAAGATTGCCACGAAGCATAAATAGTTGGAAAAGGTCGAGGGGGGTGAGGACATGTGTAGAACATTTTAGTCTGCACTTGATATTAAAGAAAACCAAAGAATTGGTACTTGTGGAATATATTATGTTCTCTGCAAGTCAGCTCTGGGCCCTCTAGTAGAGTATCATTTAGAAGTACGTCCAGTATTAATGATTATTCTCCACTCTGTTGATACCTCTAAAGTCATTCTGACCTGAGCCATTTTGCTCCAGCAAAAGGTATAATTAAAAAGAGTTCAGTGAACACGAAATAAATGTTTCTGTGTGCTTTCCAAAGGATAGCACACTTAAAATAGACCTTTAGAAACTGCCTGCCTCCCTAAAGGCCACAAGATTACAGGGGAGAAGTCGTTTCCCTCTCCCCTTACATTTCTGGATTAAAACATTTTAGATAAAAGAATAAAGTGGACTAATGAAATGTCTAAAGATTATTGTGTGCCTTGGAGATTGGCACCATGTACAAACACAAAAGACTGTTCTTACGAAGAATAATTATTATATGTGCATAGTAACATGGGAAAACAAGACTAATAATTGGCCAGCTAAAGAGTTTATATCAATCCATGTAAACTGCCCGCAGAAATGAAGTCTCATCTCTTATTATGGCAGTAGTTCTCAGAGCTTCTTGACCTGTTTCTCACCAAGCGTGCGTTGTAAATGCCAGAATTGAGAAGGAGCAGAGTAACCTCACTCAAGATGGGTGATGAACAGAGCGTGCATCGTTAGCCTTGCATATTGGGTCTCTCCATTTTTTTCTCAGAAAAGGTGGGGTACATATCTTTCCACCTTTCCTGGAATTGGTTCAAAGCAAGTTGGGATTGTACCCCCTGCTGTTGAATGCAAGTTGACATTTCTGTCATATTTTGGGTCTCCCTTTAGTTCCTGGCTTCCCTTACCCGACTGCAGCCACCACGGCGGCCGCTTTCAGAGGAGCCCATCTGAGGGGCAGAGGGCGGACGGTATACGGTGCGGTCCGAGCGGTACCTCCAACAGCCATTCCCGCCTATCCAGGGTAAGCACGAGATTCCAAAATAAGCAGCTGGACGGAAAAGAATACCATGGCCCTCTCACAACTTCTGGAACGTTGCCGTGCCACATCGTAGAGATTCTATGAATATTTGTAAATTAATGGATTAGATGGCAAGAACCAAAATAGACCATCATCAGAATGTAACACAATATCGATTCGTTATATAAATCTTCATTTTGGCCACCTTAAGCCCTCGTGGTAGTGGCTTAAGACAGCAGCCAGAACGGTCTTGTGTTGACTAGCAGTGTGTTGGCATGGAGTTCACTCAGCATCGCACGAATATGGATTAACACTACTGCAGAGAACCAAAATAGGAGCTCAAGACTGTAGTCCAAGACCGCATCTGCTGTGCTCACCCCCTTATCACCACCCTGTGTTGGGGCTGAGGCTACCACATCGCCCTCCCTTTTGGTTTCACTGCCTGGGTGGTGAGCAGCAGAGCTAGCTACCCACAATGGATTTGCTTTCTTTGTAGGAAACGGATTAAAAGAGGTTAATTCAAAGATGAACCAAGTCCAATTGAATCCAGGGAGAAAGGGAGAAGTAGGAAGAATTAAACTACAGTTGGCTTCTGAATGATGGTAAAACAACTAATGTAGCTGAGCATCCCTCACCCTTTGATTTTTGTATGGAGGGTGTCTCACGCAGTGGAATGATTCCATAGCAACAAATCAATCCTTTGCTGTTTGAACGGGGGAGGAGTGAAGGTGGCAGGTTTTGTTTTTTGTTGTTTTTCAGTGTTAGCCTAAAATGTATCTTTTTATGAAGAGTGGACTTCAATAAGTTAGCTGTACTAAGGACTTTCTTTCTTCAAAGAGGCGACATTTGTGTTCTGCATCTTTTCTCTGCCTATGACAGGGTTTTTTCCATATTCTCTCAGAGAAAGAAATGCAGTGGCAGAGGAGCCTGTTCACTGCTACTTAGTTAAAACCCAAAGGGAAAGAGCCTCCTCTGTAGGTCCTTTTCTGACAGCAGAATTGGCTTTGAGGTATACTAACTTAGCATTCATTCATAGACCAAATGGACATGCCATTAGAGGTCCTCCGTTGCACAGAATTAAAGCATTTTTATTAGACAAGTATGCATGTTGAACTGGACAGGCTCCAAAAGCTGCCGGAAGGTAACTGCTTTAGAAATAAACTTTTGTTTGCAGTTTATAGATGTTTAAATCCCATGCATTCCATCATCTCCATCTTCTGCCATTACTTGCTTTTAATTTTATTCTTTCTTCTCTCAACTTGACCTTTGACCTTCAACCTCTGACATCTCTTTAAAGAAGTGAATAAAGATGCAGTATTATTTCATCAAGAAATACTCAAGTAAAATATAAAAACAAACCTTTTGGAAGTTCTGCACACCAGGAAAATTGTTCATGAAGCGCCTTCCATTTCAATCCAAGAGAGTTTACCGTCATGCTGGCAAAGCGATACCACTTACCAGAAACATGGGACTTTTTTATTTTGTAATCTTCCTGAGTTACTTTATAAAAACGGTTGGATTCGTTCCTATTCGATGTAGCTCATTTCAGTATATTGGCCAAACTTGAGAACCCATTCTCTGCCAAGTCTGTGTCAGGATTGTGTTCGCTCAAAGATATTTTTATCTTTATGTCTAATCATACCAATCTCTGTGCATTACATTGAACACTGATTTCCCATGTTTTCTTTTTTATTAACTAAACCACCGGTTTACAAGGAAGATGGCAAGGAATAAGTCCAGTATTATATGGGGAATGGCCTAAAATTGCTTTTCAGCTTAGTAAACTAATTTCATCATTAATCATTATGTTCTAGCTTCCTTGTGGCATTTGATACAGGGAATATTAGAATTCTTCTAGAATTTAGGTGAATATTCCCAGTGAGTGATGCAACTTAGGGTAAACTTAATTCGTGTTTTTAATGCCACCACTCTTCTCTGTCGAAGAGATGTTTGTCATCTTTGCCTGTGTCCCCTACTGAAATAGTTGAGGGTTAATTAATCACCACTTGGCTTCAGTGCTTTCCATTCGGTCAGCCTTCTCCTTATGAACAAGTGTCTTTTTTACTAAAATGCAGTTGAGAGGCAGATTACTTTCTAATATCAATCTCTAACTGCAGTTGGAAAGTATGAAAATGGATAGAACATAGTAGCTAAATGAGCATCACAGATGAATTCAATCTGCCTGTTGTGTAATACAAAGGCGCAGCATATTTGGGGCATTGCAAAGTGTGACCGTACTATCCTGTAAACCCAACAAAATACCATTGTAAATAGAATTCAGAAACTTTCCAGCTACCTGCAAAAAATAAATTATTTCATTTTCAAGTAAAAAAATATGATTTAAAGACCTCACTAGCTTATTATAACAGAGAAGATAGTGGTGAAAATTTCCAGCTTGCTTAGTTGAATAAACAATAAACATCTTCTCATTTAAAATATCCAAATCTTGATTTAACAAATGTGAAGAAGAAAGTCTTATCTTGTATCTCTACTGCTGTTTCATGTCTTTTGGTCCCAAAGTAATGTTTTGGGGGAAGTCTGTATGCACAGAAATACCTCAAAAGGTTTGAAATCTATGATTATAATAGTTTAGTGTTGCCCAGGATTTAAAAAAAAAAAAAAAATCCATGTATTTTGTTTGATACAAATTTATTTTTCTAAACAGGAAAATAAACCCTTCTATTCCTAATCAGCTACTTTCCCAGTTTTATCCTTTTAAATAAAACAGGATGATCCTTAGTCATGCCCAGAACGTCAGTTATCAATTCTGTTTTTCAGAGTTCCAGGAATATGTTTATGGTCAAAAAAGAACCCTTAAAATCTTCCAGTTCCTCCTTCCCGCTCTGGATTATATTGTTACTATCTGGGATCCCCACTGCACCTTTCAATTCTTGGACCTTGGACCAATCACCTTAACCTTTAGCTCATTATCTCTGCTTGTGAAAGCAATGCATTGTGGGTATTTTTGGTTGTGTTTTTTTTTTTAATTACATTTCTCTGTTTACTTTGGTCAGAATTGATTGACTTGTTTTTCTGAGGTGTTGCATTGGTTCTTAAAATGCTGAATAATAATACTCTGCATGCTTGTGTGATCAGCCAAATCTTATCGCATGTCTAATGTGCAGGGTAAAAAAGCAGGTGATGTATGGATATCAGAAAAAAAAATGTACATACTTCTAGGAAACTGAAAACAAAATACTAAACATAATTTTGAAACATACTCTACATACAGGTCCTGCCCTGATGGAATTCTTTGGGTTCGTTTATTTTTCACGTTAGATACCTCTTTCCGTGCCTCTCCCCCCACCGCATACACATGCAGTCATTTTGAAACTCTTTAAAGAAAAATTTCCTCCTAGGGCAAGCTTTTAAAAAAAAACAAAAAAACCCAAGTATGAAAACTTGATGTTTCTCATCCAGCAGATTTCCGATAGTTCTATTAGGCCCTCTGGGAATGCTTTTTATTGTTGTAATCTTCCTGTAATGACCAAGTATCCAGGTGTCCATTCCAGTTTTGCACTCCTCCCCCTCCTCGCATGCCCTGGAGCTGTATAACGTGCGTGTGCACCTGCACGGTCCTCTCACGCGCTGCGGCCCCCAGCCCCCGTTATGTATTCATACATCACCTGCCTGTGTAGAGCGCATGTGCATGCTGCCGTCCTCAATAACCGGAATGTGTTTCTGTTCTTTTGTTTTTTTGTTTTTGTTTTTGTGTGGATTTTCTGCAGTGTGGTTTACCAGGACGGATTTTACGGTGCTGACCTCTATGTAAGTACACACACCGGGGCCTTCTCGACCCCATTCCCTGACAAGCCAGCCTTTTTTTTTCTGTTTCTTTGGTTTGGTTTGGTTTTTTGTTTTGTTTTGTTTTACATATAATTTGTTTAATTTTTATTTTCTTTTTCCTTGTGGATATATATATATATATATTTATATATTTAAGAATGCAAGCATGCTTCTCTGCCACTGCGCTTGCCCCTGGGTGCAAAAACTAAGCCTTTGGGTTTCCTGAACATTGCTAGAGTCAGTCTACTGGACATATTCTTTTCCCTTCCCTATACCCACAGATGTTCTGTGTATCAGTGATTTATTTGCGAGATGATCAGCAGGTTTAAAGTCTTTTATTACTGTCGTGTCATGTGCATACATAAATAACAGGATAGTTAACATTAGCTTATACCAACTCTCTTCTCCGCTTTTCTTCTCATTTCATATCCCTCTTTAGATCATTGGAGCTTTGATTTAAGATGGCAGTAAGCTTTCTGAACTATGTGTTTTCCTATTTTATATACTTTTGAGAGAGCATTACCCTGTGAAAGGGGAGGAAGGAGCTGATGCCAGTGAAGAGTGGGGATAAAGAGAAGAAACCAGGCACTCAGTGCTTCCGGCCCTGCTTTATCAAAAAGGTCCACAACTGGTGGGTCTCTTTTCTTAAGAGCCGTTTAGAGGGAAATGAGTGGCATAACTAGAAACCTAGACTCTTCTTACAAACGTTTGACTATCATATAGGATCTGTTGATTTTTCTCAGCCATGTTAACGTCATTATTATTATCCATTATTGAAACTGTCTTGTTATATCGTGATTGGTTTGTCACATATTATTTAAAATGTGGACAAAGTGATCTAACTGACAAAGAATCCAAAAGTTTTTGAGCTTTGAAATCTTTTATTAAGACCTCTCCAGATGATCTGTTTCTGAATGCAAGCTTAGTCTAACCATCCAAATCATTAAGAAATTTCTTAAGAAAAACTTGTCAGCATGAAATTACTCCTTGGGCAAAGGTTAGAATTGTCCAGAAATGCTTTCTCCATCCTTACCTCCCCAAATCGATAAGGATATGCCTTTGCAGTGAACTGTTTCCACAGATTTCTGCCAGAGATTCTCTGGCAGTCAGAAAACTTTAATGTACTTTCAGAATGTACTTAGAGGTTCTGTGTGTTGCAGGAGGTAAAGATAGGTTAAAGCAGTCTTCTTGGGATACTGTAGGTGCCTGGACGCACCTGTCCTATTTAGAGTAGACTTCCGAAGTTTGCCTTAGTTTAACAAATGCTGAAAGGAATCTTAGCCATGAATTGGTCCAACCCTCTCACTTCATTATATACATTTCTTAGATTGTGACTTACCCAGATTACATCAGTTATTTACATAGCCAAGCACAAAACTCAATCCCTATTTCATTACCTCTTGCAGTGCTTTAATTAAAATCCACATCTTTCCTCAGATGGTTTTCAAGAGGTAATGAAAGGTACCTTTTTTTCCGGTGCTCACAGTGAAACTTGAGGGTTGGGGGAATATTCCTGCTTTTATACCAAATGACACTTTTCTAAATATATGTATTTGCATATGATCTTAGCATGTACATTCTCCCATACACATTAGTATCCATATTTTCATGAAACTCATCTTTATGTTATTTAAATTGTTTTCCTGAAATTTGATTTATTAGAGCATGCCTTTCCACTGGAATTATTTCTTAAAGGTGTTTTTTTTTTCTTCTCTCTCTCTAATATCTTATTTGGGGATTTTTTTTTAAGTATGGCTTACTTCTACCTTATTAAGATTTGCCTACTTCCACCTTGTTTAAGTGAACCAACCAAATATTTGCTTACAGTTCTCTTATTTCCTTAGTTCACAATGTGTGATTTTATTAAGAGAGAGATGATTTTTCTGTACTTAACTGAGAAAATACTCTTGAAAAAAAATTTTTTTAATCTACTAACTGGATCACCTTATGAAGCTAAGTAGAAATAATTTAGAGACCTTGCTGAAATACTTGTTTGATCAGTTTTCTTAACAAAAAGAATTAATCATAATGTTATCATTTCTTAGTTCCTATCTTAAAGCAGTCACTTAAAGGGAAAAGTTGGTCACCAGTGCTTTTGCAATATCTGACCCCACTACATAATGAGGTGTAGCTGTTGAGTGAAGGCTCATGTAACTACAGCTTAGAGAACTTAATATTCCCACTTCCAGATGTGAGGGAGCAAGGGATGCTTCTTTTAAACACACACACACACACACACACACACACACACACACACACATCTTCTTTTAAACACACACACAAACACACACCCCTCTGTGTTTCCTTGAGTTTGTTCTCCTTCTCTCTGTATATTTTCCCGCCTGTGGAAATCTGTCCATATACACGGAGTCCTTGTTTCCTCAGAAATACAGATGAGCAGTAGGACGAGTGGAGGGTTCGTCCATTACACGAAGTGCACCAAACCAGAGCTTGAAGGAACATCATGAGGAAAAAGTTTAAGCTGCCCGTTTTATCTTAAGTTATACTAATGTAGGCTGTTAATTGTGGAGATTTTTTTTTTTTTTAATCTCTTTGCCTGTTCTGTTGTTAGTCCGTAATTGCTGCTAGCCATTTTCTTCTTTTCTGTTTCTTTGGTGGCTCTTGCCTCTCTGGGGCACTGACCGAGCAGTTGTGCCCACAGTCTGTAGAGAGACCACAGTGAGAAGCCTTGAGTGTAGCGGACAGATCGTGTGCCCTCCCCACCCCTCTTTTTCTTGACCAGTAGAAAAGGCATGGCTCACCCTAATTCACTTTTTAAAGGGATAACAAACTGCTCCTAATTCTTACCCTGTGAAAAGCATGCTTGCATCCAAAGGAAAGAAAAGGCTGGTGGGCCCCTTAGCGGGCTTTTTGTATGATTGTTTTCCTTCCACAGCTGTGTTTTTTGAACTGCTCTTCCTGTGTTCTGTTATAGAATAGTCTTACAGGAACCAATCATTAGCGCTAAAATACCTCAGGTAGGAGTGCCAGTGTGACCTGCCAATCAATCAGATTGTGGATTGCAGTGAAAAAATTGAATTATACTAACCATTCCAGCTCCACGTTAGAGATGGGAACAGAGGCTTTTTTGGACAACCGAGACTTGTGAGCGTGTGATCTGAGCCCTGCTACCTCAGCAGCGTGCAGTCAAGTTCTATGCGTGATGTCACCTCCTCCAAAATTAAGTGCTCGCGTCCCATTGCCGCTGTCCACACCAGGCGGGTGCTGTGCACTGTCCCATCACGGCCGCCTCTCTCAGTTTGTCAATCACATTTCTCCATGGCGTTCAAACTGGGCTTTTATACTTGGAGATCTTAGCAGGTGGAGACATCTTCTCTCCACCAGGAAAGAAATGAGGAAAGGGAGGAAGTCGAGTCTGTGCGGACAGGACTCCTGAATTCCCGATTGGGTCCCCCCAGTAAGACCGTAGTAGTGAGTGGGCCGTGCTGTTACCTAAGTTTGAAGTTGCCTAAAAATCTAGATCCACTGGGACTCTAAAACTTGAAATATGCATTGCCCTTGCCCTCTTTGCCTTTCTCCTTGAAACAAGGTCAGTGAGTTCATTTGGATAATAATGCACTGTTCAGTTTGCTGATAGCTGGATGCTCAGGGGAAGGACAGCAGACAGCCTGTCACAGTTCAGCTAGTTTCTTTTTGTGCCTACCCAGCGAGATTTGAGAAATGAACTAATTTGGGGAGAAGTGAAATAGTGGAGTGTTTGAGAGGTTTGATTCATTAAAGATCATCTCTCATCTACCATTGAAGTCGTAAGTGGAAGATAAGTTGATCATGACCGTTTCTTCCCCTCGCCCCAATTTTGAATAATAATAAAATAATATGTAAATACTTCTCCTTAAGACCTTTTCATATCTACTTTTCAAAGTAGATAGGTGACTGTCAAAAATAGTAACAATATCCTCATTATTACAAGTGTTGGTATTCACGTCTGTATTAACTCACATTTAATCAGGGGTGCCATATTGCCACAGAAGAACGGTCTCCTAAGAGCCGCTCCTGCAGGGTCCATCTAGGGCGATGGCTCTCGGCTGGAGTGGGAAGGAAGTGAGAGAAGGGAGGGGTTAGAACTGGGCAGAGACAAATAAAGTGATGCCCAGAGGCACAACATTCAACCCAAGCTCCTTGGGCTGGATCCTGCTCCCTGTAGTGATGTTAAGCACCACATCTGCCTTTCTCTCCACCCACCCACCCCACCCCTACTCCCCTCGCTCTATAAATCTGTACACCACGTGCAGGGAACAAGCTCTCATTTTGTCTGCTGGTCTTGAAATACACACTCTTCTCGGTGTCACATAATGTAACTGTCTTCCAGGTAGAAAGAAGGTGTCTTGACATCACATGCTCACCAAAGTCCTGTTTTAATGTAAATCTGAAACAAAAATATAATAAAATTAATGGCTAGGTTAAAATCAAGACAAGGGGAGCGTCTACCCATGTGAGATCATGCTAATAGAGAATGCATATAAAGGTCAGATACGGGAGAGGTGGATATGTAGAGCCCTTCCATCTTGTTCTGGTTAAAACAGAACTATTTTAGAAAAGTCCTGTGGTCAGTGTGGCAACATTATAAAGTTAATTAAATGATAAAATCGATTCAGAATGGAGTAGAGAATCCCTAGCAGGTGTTGATGGATCCTGGACAGCTGAGACTTGAACAACAAAAGGATCTTAAAGGTAACCACGCTTTCCTGGGAAAGAGCTGGAAGTTGAAGGCAGGGATGTGTCATGGATATGTGAAAAGATAGACCGCTTAAGCCCGGGAACTACGTCCGAAGAACCCTGGGTCAGAATGGATGGGTGCTGCCCGAAGGCCAGCGCCCAAGCTCACTCCGTGGGTCAAGACTAAACCTCACTAGCAGGGTCAGGAAGGGTGCGTAGGGGAGTGATGATGGAGTGTTGGGCTGCCCCTGTTGGGGACACTCCGGAGGCATTCACAGTGAGTTACAAAGGAATAAGAAAGTAATCCTTTTAAAGGAGCACGCGTGTATTTGGACCAGGCTCAACCATGCCAAATGTGTCCAGCCATCAGAGTTCCAAAAAGCAGTCCGTGTGTGCCCTCCTACACTAGGGTGTGCTGTGGCCATGCTAATCCCCATTTTTTGTTTTATTTCAAATCACACACAGATAGAGTCTGCAAACTGCTTCAGATCCAACAGGTCTGATTGTGTGTAAATACATATGTCCTTTTTAATTTTTATTCTTAATGGTTGCTTCAGTTTTGCATCAGTGCATGGTTAAAAGCAATACACATCAGCTATTTCATGACTTCATATCTCCAAATGAATTATTTCTCCTCTTTTTTTTTTGTTTGTTTGTTTGTGCAGTCAGCTGAAGACACGTTAACATCTCACTCTAAATCTCTCAGTGGAGTCTCTGTTCCCTTCTCTGATATAACAGATGGGTTACTGCTTGTTATAATTATTAACATTGTGGTGTGGGCCAGGGCGAGGGGGGGTGACCTTGACTATTTCCTTGGTCTGGGGAGGGCCAGTTGTTAGGGTCTGGAATGTTAACTCAAGTGGTGACTGACTGTTTCCGTAATAGCAGGGTTGTTGTGGCTGCACGCTCTAGTAATTGAGGCTGTGTACTTCACCGAGCTTGCGGTAGAGCCTAGGGCAAACCGCTGTCCCAAGAGAATGCTGGGATAGATAGAGTTAGCCAGTACGAGTCTGAACGCGGTGACTTTGCTGGTCGTTTTAGCTCCAGATGTTGGCATGCTTAGTTTTTAATGTGATTAATCAGTGTGGCGCCATTACCCCCCCCCCACGCCTGAACCCTGTCTCTCCTACTGCCTTCCCCACCCTTGTTCTTTTTGAAAAACTTAAGAAACAGTAATGAAAACCTTGGTGTTTCAAACTGCACTTTGTTCTCATGTTCTAGAAAAGATTTCAGACTTGCTAGTTGAGGTGATAGTTGAGAAAACAATTTCTCGGCCTGGAAGCTTGATGCACTCCGAAATCGGAGTAGATGAATAAATACATCTGAATTTTCTTTGTCTTACAGTTTTTGATATATTTTGTTTGAAGCAGCAGCAGAAATGCTTGGGTAAGACTCCATCTGAGAGAAGTAAATCCATGATATACAATTTAACTTTTCTAATTTGGGGATAGTCACCGATGAATGACCACACTAGTTTATTGGAATATTATCTGTCCATCCTGAACATAACCCCACCACCACCACCTTAAAGGGCCTCTCTGTAGCACCATTGTAATGAGGAGAGTAGTCACTGAAATATTATCAGCTTAAAAAAAATCAGTGTAGTTTTTCTTAATGCTGATATTCTTCTCATGCCTTTTGTTGGCAACAAAATATTTGTATCCCTGTCCCGTTTTCCTGAATTTAAATAGCAAAGAACCTCATCAAATTCAAACTCCAAAGTCTGAGTCCACTTATAATAGAAGGAAACTACTACAGATAGTCTCCTCGTCTCCTTCTGGTTTGGAAGGAAACTTCTTTCCCACAGTCTGATCTATTTTGAATTGTTTTGGTTAACAATAACATTACCCCAAAACCATTGCAGTTCTGATGGCTTCTTACAGGCTGAGGAAGGGGAGGGGAAGTGGTCCTATCAGTAACCTCATTCAGAACCTCTTTTTACAGCATTAGTGCACTACTGTTCAAAGCTATGATTTGATAGAATCCCCAGTATCTCCGACTTTACTGAGACTTTCTGAGAGGTCAGGACTTTTGAGCCTCAGAATCCCTTAATGGGAATGTATACTCTGCCCTGTGGCATAGAACTTCAGTTTGTAAATGTTTTGCTCAGGTAAACATAAAGTGGGCTTTAACTGCTTTTATTACCTTGACTTTTTTAAATTTTTAAAGATTATTTTGGTGTTTGAAGGAATGCTAAGGAGACAAACCACATACTGCTTGTTTACCACATTATCCTTGTTTACAAAGAAGTTTTACTAAAATCAGCCCTGCTATAAACTTCACACCAGCAAACTTCAGTTCTAAACTTAATGGAATCATCTAGTTATAATGAAAAATTGAGCCTTTAAAGGTTCATTTAAAGCTGAAAATTTCAACTATAAAGATTAACCTGTTGCTTTAACAGATGTTTTTCCTAAAAAGGAGTAAGGTAAAGAGACCCTTTAGTTTATAACGCGTGTATGTGTAGGTAGATACAGCACAGATGCAGGTACGGCAGGGTATATGATGCAGCCTGGGGTGTGTAGCTTTGCCCAGACCAGCCTGGCCTGCCCGTTCCTGTAGACCTGGCTGGATGTCAGAGCAAACGTGTTGATCACACTACAGCCCCGAGGGTGCTTCCTGTCGTGTTTCTGTCCTCTACCATTTCATTGTCAGTGTTGGGTAATATTAATTAGAATCTTCTGATGTATATAGATACCTGTGGAAGAATTTGTAATTAAGAAAGAAATGTTTGCTTTTCTGAGTGATTTACTTGAAGAACAAAGAGGAATAATGCATGACTATTGAAATTCAATCAGGGATACTTTCAGTGTACATTTGAAGCTGCTTTGGATGGCTTCAAGCAGCATACATTTAGAGAGCAGGAGTAAATGCTCCTCCATAATGCAGTGTGTTCACTTGGAGAAAGAATAAATGAAATGGTGCCTAAGTGCACCAGCTGAACATAGTTATATCTGATAGGGAGAAGATAGTAATAAAAATTCACTCCTGAATTAGGTTTAGGTGAAATAGATGAATTCTTGAAGGTTAAAGAAGAGGAAAACATAGGGCTTGCCACTTTTTTAAAATAGCCTGTCTCATGTGGCACTTAACTGTTGTGTTTATCTTCGAAATACTTAATGGGAAGTACTTACGGTTCACCCTGACAGTGAAAACCTTTGGGGTATTTGGTTCCTCTAAACTGAGGGGAGGAAACAGGATGTGGGAGTCTTAAAGTCTCCAGGACTGAGAGGATATTGGGCCCATTGGCAGAAGAGCTCCAGAGCCTGCTACGAGATTGGAGTGGAAGAATCTCCGAATCTTTTGGGAGAGGAGAATAAATGCAGTTAAATGCCCGGGGCATGGAGGGAGGGCTTCCTCACCTAGGTGAGTCCCACCTCAGGGTCCTGGGCCGTTTGTAATGTGATTTGTCTGAGTCTGAAATGTAGATCAGAACTGGCAGGTTTTTGCTCTGAAGGGCCAAGTGGTAAATATTTTCGGCTTTGGAGGCCAGACAGGTCTCTTCACACCTGCTTTCAAAAGCAGGTGGCAAGCTGCGTCGGCTCACAGATTGAAGTTTGCCAACCCCTGATCTACGCTGGGTTTTCCTTCTAAATGTTGCCCGGTTATCTTAGCCTCTTGGCAAACGTGCGAAGCCTGATGGAGCACAGCACTATAGAGGACCTTTCCATTACATACCGTCCGTGGTCTTAGCGGTAAATCCATCTGAGAATCTGAAGTTAACACATACAAATTTAGTATGTTCTAGTTCTATAATTTACATTCCCCGTCAGGTAAAGTTCTCCCAACTCCCTGCAGATATTTGCCCTGTGAAGACTGTGAAGTAAGACAGATCTGAAATCCTATCGTCGTTTCTTAAATCTGAGAACAGGTCCTACTGAGAGAGTTTTTACTTTTGTTACCGTCCCACACTGGAGAGCACATCCCTGCATTGGGTGGAGCTTCATTCTGTGCCAGAGGAACGATAACATGCAGACCGAGGCAGTTTGAAACATTCTTCCCCCACGTGTGTGTCTGTGTTTGTGTCTGTCCCCGTGTCGTCGTGCGCGTACGTCTGCGTGTGGGTGGGTGTGTGTGCGACCGGCCCTGGGGGGGAGGTATCTGTAAAGTCAGTTCTCTTCTCTCCTGTAGGGCGGATACGCAGCCTACAGATACGCACAGCCCGCTACCGCGACTGCGGCCACAGCCGCCGCCGCCGCCGCCGCAGCCTACAGCGACGGGTAGGTGCCGCCCGCCGCCCTCCTGTCACCGCCGCCACTTCTGCTCCGCCGCTCCCGCTTGGTCTCCTTGTCCCTTTCTGGCTTTGACCCCGCTCTCCCTCTTCCTCATCCCCAGCTCCTTTCTCTCCCGCCGTAGAGAGGTACTTGAGAATTTTTCGGAGTTACTGCATTTGGGAGTAGAGAAAGTTCCCCAATAACATTCCAAGACCAAGTCTCCCCCAAGTCTTTAGCACAGTAAACCCTGTCATTCTTGTAGCGCACAGCCTTGGCCTGATCTCCCTGATTGTATTTCCTCTTTCAGTTACGGCAGGGTGTACACAGCCGACCCATACCACGCCCTTGCCCCTGCCGCTAGCTACGGAGTTGGCGCTGTGGTGAGTATGACATGTGCCCTTTTTCTTCTTAGCCACTTTACTCCTTTTACCTTTTGCCTACAGATCCCAAAAGATCTAGAGAGGTAACAAATTCAGCCCCTCTTCCATTGCCAAAGTCCTGAAGCCACAGAAGACTGTCTGGAAAGTTCGTATCAGCTTCTTTATCTGTGTGTCGTAGTGTGAGCCACTTGACCTGGTTAAGGGCAGGGAGGAATGAGCTGTGACAGTCTACCCTGAGTAACGGCATCATGTGGGAGAGAAAGAAAGGGAACAGGTTGACGTTTTATATTGGCTCAGCTGTTGGATGCATGCCTGTGGCTTGGTTTAATCGATAGGTGTTAGCGAAGATGTAGGGGCATGAGATTTTCCAGCTTTCACAGTAAGCTTTTCAAAAAATGGACATTAGTTTCAGATGCAGATACCAAAGGCTGTCCCTGCCATGCCCGAGCCTTCTGGCAGGTGGTGCTGGAAATCACCAAGTGAATGCCTTACAGTAACATTTGTGGCAAAATAGGGTATTTTCCTGGAAGTGTAGGAAAGGTCCATTGAGCTCATATAGAAGAACTCCCCACCCCTAGCCCCCTCCAACCGAACTGGAATCCTCACGGCAGTATTTCTTTGTTGGCCTGGATGCCTCCGGGCTGCAGCAGAGATGGGCTGTTCACAGCAACATCCCTAATGTTCTCAGCCGGGCAGCAGCCTGGGCATGTGGACAGAGCTGTTGGACGGGGAGGCAGAGTGATAAATGAAATTTGGCTTAGAGGAATATGAGAGAGCCCGTCATTTCTCACACTCAGTTTCTACTGCTATGAAGATTTGTGGGAGGAAGTAGCAGGGTCCTAAGGGAATGTAGGTGTGGAATTGAGGTAGAGACAGACAAGATAAAGACAGTGATGGAAATTCCTGAGATTTTATGTGCCAAAAAGATACAAGTCCAATCCTGAAGAAGCAAAGAAAGAACAAAGCCCGGTTAAAACTCCACAGAGATAGATAGAAATAAATTCGGGTATGTCCACAAGCAGCCTAGTTGGCATATATTCTAGATTATACAGGAGCTAGACATGAGGAGTTGAAAGGTTGACTCCGGTTTAAATCGAGCACCATCTCAGACATGGTACGTGACAGCTAGTGGTGAGAGGAGCCTGTTCTCCACGGACAGGTGACGTGTACGAAGGTAAAATCAGCTAGCTGCTTCAGGTCACAATTGTGATGATGTGATCAAGGTAAACAAAAACTCGTGCTTTTAAACGTCAGATTATTTACAGATCTGGTTTTAAACTGTATTGAGTTTGAGTTTCCCTTCTGTGCTGATTGATGTAAATAATGAAATGAAGCAGGGAAAGGAGAATATCAGGTCCTCAGTAAGTGTTCTGGGCTCTGGTTTGAGCGTCTTAGAGGCAGAAGTCCGTTTCCTGACTTCACTGCACTACGTAACATCTTACCAGTTGCTTTACAGCTTCTAAAGAAGCTGTTTTTCCAAATCCCTTTTCAGGACATTTTCCTTCATTTTCAGTGCTTCTCTCATCAACCTTTTAATTACTTTTATGTCTTTAATTACTGCAGGCGAGTTTATACCGAGGTGGCTACAGCCGATTTGCCCCCTACTGAAGTGACGTGAGACCCTGCAAATGGGACAGCCCCCCAGTTCATGAGGCCTGGCTATTGCAATATTTACTAGTAGAGGAACTCTATAGCAAGATGAAGAGGAAAAACAAACAAACAAACAAACAAAAAAAAATACAAAAAAAGAGAATACTTTTTTATACCTCACTATGTTCTTTGAATATGTATTTTTTTCCTTTACATTTCTGCCTTTAATTCTTTTGTTCCAAAGATTGTGCATTTTTTTCTTTCTTTTTCTTTTTTTTTTTAAACTGTGGTAAAAAAAAAAAAATAATGCATTTCCATGTCTGTATGTCCGTGCTTAGCTTATTCTGTCAATCACGGAAGAGGCAGTTAACGAGGAAGGGGAGACCTTAGGAGCTGATGAATGCATGTGATCAGAAATCAGCAGACAGAGCTACCAAAGTGTATCCGGTGCTGAGGGCTGGGGGACGAACAGAAGTGGAGGAGATCTGTCTGCAACAGGATATTCTTCTAGTCTTCTGAGTTTCTGGTCTTCGGCAGGCAGTTCTGCTTGGCTCTTGCTGGAATCCACATGCTGATAGATGACAGGAGTTTGTGCTTGCAAAGCAGGAGGACTGAAAAGACACTTTCCTCTCCTCTTCCCTCCTGTCTTCTCCATTCTTTTTACAATCATCTTAACCTGCACAGCCTGAGACCGTTGGCATCGTTTTTGGAATTATAATATTAATATTTCCAAACATGCTCTCAGACTGTGGATAATAAACACCTCATTAGGAAACCGATCTCAGAATGAACTCTGGAGTGTGAAAAAGATCATTCTTTTCTTTCCTGAGATCCTAGCATTCCTGCTGGGCTTCTTCCCCTTTCTCTGAACCACAGCTTAGCTCATCTGTCCTTCTATAAACTCCCTACTCCCAAGTCCTCAAGAGTCAGGAATTTAGGACCCAGGGACAGGAGAATAAATAGCGACCAGATCTCCCGGCTTGAGGGTTTAGAAGTACGAAGCGTTGGGAGCCAGTAAAGAGGGTAAGGAAGAGAAAAGGGGTATCAGATGATGTCTGGCAGGGCTCTGATAGTCCTGTGCTTTCTCTTGCATCAGGAGGTCAGTACAAGGTAGGAAACATATGGAGAGTGTTGGCAAAAGATAAAGCTCCGAGTCCCGGGGTGGCTGTCCCTGGAAGTTTGTGGTGATTGGGGCATGTGAGGGCAGGCAAAGGCACTTTGTACTAACTAGCTCCAAAGCCATAGGAATTCCCATCTTCCAGAGCATTCTGTGAGCCACTTCTCTGTCCATGGTTTTGAGCTCTCGTGGCCACTCCGCCCGGCTTCTCATTTTCCTCCAAAGACACCCAGCCGAGCACCGACTGCTTGGCATACATGAACACTACAGGAGATAAAACCCAGAGCCCCTGAGGCTCCTCCCCTCCCCTAGTGGAAGGAGGGTGTGTCCTGGCAAGGATCTCACATGTTGCCAGAAGAGTCGTGTTGTGACCACAGCGGTGAGTCACTGCTGTGGCTGCCTGGCTTTGATTTTATACATATGGACAAGGCAGGGGAGAAGGTGTTTCTCTTCTAGCTATTAGCTGTTAATGATAAAGGCAAGGGTCCTGCAGCATTTCCAAAATGACGGCATTAGAAAACAGAAAAGCACGGTCTGTTTGGCTCCCTGGTCTATTCACATTGGTACTAGGGTGACCTCTCACCCAAGGGATAGCTGCTAAAGGGAGTAATTCAGAGACATGGAGCTTCTGGTTTGTTATGGGTTTGTTTTCCGTTTGTTTTGTTGTTGTTGTTGTTTTTTTCTTTTTTTTTTTTACTCCTGCCTCCACACGTGTTCTTGACTGATAACTGATTCATGTCCCTGAATTAAAATGACTGACATATGACAGCATCAAGCATTCTTTGTAAGCAGAGTGATCTGTCCGGGAGGGACTGGCCTATTGTGTAAAATACCTATCTTCTCCCCCTGTAAAACCTTCTCTCTCCTGATGACTGGGAGGAGAGGCTGTGCCTGAAACGAGGGGAGACATCAATGAAGCTAGAGGCCTCGATGCAATCTTACTAATTCTGGGGAGGAATGCATGGAATACGGGACGCCAAACTGCCTGGAGCCATTGGCCATTTGTAAGGGTTCCCCTCCCCAAGCCAAAGTTTGTTTTCGTTGCTGTTAAGACAATTTTTTTTGTATGTATATAAATATTTTAGTTAGAGGAAGGGGTATAGGATGTGGGGCTTTCACAGTTCTAGAGAATGGGGGCAGGGAGGATTTTTTTTCTTTTGCTTTTGTTTTGAGGGAGAGCTTTTACTCACTAAAGAAACAGAGAAATTTCATGTCATGTTCAAATAGGGGCCATTCACAGAAATGGCAAGCCACTGCTCAGTGGAGATAAGGCCAAATTTTAAATGGTTGTGTCTGTAGCAGGGGAGGAGAATCGGGGAATGAGTTTAGTAATTTTCTCTTCTTTTTTCCAAGAAAGAGACAAGGATGGTGGGCAAGGTAGAGAAGGCAGCTCCCACTGCCCTTTTAAAAGAGGCAGAAGCTCGAGCTTGGGCTACCTTTACTGCAGTTCAGTTCAGCTGGTTCTGGCTGAGGACTCCATAGGCAAGCTCTGTGCATTCTGCTGCATTTCCAGGGATGGTTGTAATCCGGCTTCCTCCAGTTCCCTTTTCTAAGGAAGGCTGAGCAGACTTCCACTTTCACTCAAGGGCCTCGGGCTCTTCAGCATCAGCACCGAGAATTGGAGCTCTTGTGAGCACCTAGATGAGATTGTAGCTGCCCCCCCATCCCCTTTTGAACTCTGAGACTCCGTACAGCCAGCTTCACCAGAGGCAGGTTCCTCAAAGCACCAGTGCTTGTCTGCTCCTGGCTCTGGTTCCCACTGGACTAAGAAACAGAGTCGGAAGAGAGTTTGGCATCTGTGGGTTCGTTAGAGGATGCTGGTTGATGATTCCAAAAAACACTGATGCTGAATCCCAGCACGTGAATGATTTCCACAGCTTTACTGTAGCTCATGACGTGGACTTCTGTACTTAGCGTCTTACTCCTAGAAGCCGGGCTCTTTTAAGGAGACTGCTAGTGAAAACCTTTTTCTCCTAACCCCTTTTCAGCCAGGAGAGCTGCCCTTAGGTCTTTTCTGGAATCCCTTGTGTTCCATGGTTCAGCTCCCGAAACCCCTGGCTCAACTATTGTGACTCATCTTTTTTAAGGCTCTCAGGTTTTCCCGAACTTGCCATCACCACCATCCTCTGACAGCCGCAGGTGGGATTGAGCCATGTTATTTTTCCTTGAAAAAGAAGGGGACTGGGACTCACCTCTTCGTTTAAGGGGATCTAGTGGAGATTATTCAATAAAAACCAGTGGTAGCAGCTTTTCCTCAAAAGTCTTACTCCTCAGGGGCTGAACTGCTCTTACTTTAGGTTCCCGTTCCTAGCGATGTAGCAGACAAGTAGGTGAGCACCACCCCCATCACCAGTCACTTAGCTTCCAGGTGGGAGGGAGGTGTAAACTCGGGATTGAAGCCGCCCTGATGATCTGCCAGAAGGGCTACCTTACTCCCCTTCCCTCGGACAGGAGAATGGGGCCAAGCCAGGGCCCCTCTGGAAGGCATGCCAGCCAGGAGGGGGAGGGAAACTGCTCACGCCCTTCCCTCTCACCAAGTCCAGCCTCCTCTGCTGCTTGCAACCTCTAGCACAGTAAGGTTTGCAGAATTGCAGACTCCCCCCCCCCCATGATAGGAAGAAAGGGACTTTGGGGGGTGGGGAAGGGATAGTGGTGTTTTAAAAAGCATAAAGTTACCTGTTTGCACTGTTTTAAGATAGGAGAAAAGAATAGTGGGCAAGATGAACATCAGACATAAATTTGTGTGTTTTTATTTTGTCATGCTCTTGAAAATGTCTGACCATTTGTAGTATATAACACCAGTGAGACTCGATTCTGTTACATAAAACACTAAAATTTTTTTTCTTTTTTGGGTAATGTTACGTCCAGAAGCCTCTTCCCTCCCTTTCCCTTTCCCTGTGTACTTCCTCCACACTTGCTTTACTGATCAACCAGGCAATAGCCATCCAAGAGCTCGAGCATGAAGCGGGGCCCTTTCCAAGTAGGCTCCAGCAGTCCTAAGCCAGTGCACTCCCCCTGGTCTAGTAAGCGCAGTGGAGTCCCTGGCACCTGGCTTTAAAACAAGGCTTACAGACCAGCCTATGGCAAGTTCTGCAGTGCCCAAAGTAGACGCGCTAGGAACGAGGAGCCGAGGGCAGAGGGGATTCCTCAAGTGACCCAAGTCGGCTGTTGTAGCGGTTCTTAACCCACGTTACCGCAACTGTAGCCAGTTACAGTTTACTCAGGAAAACGGGAGATCAATTCAGCCATGGTGGTGCTGGTTGGCAGGGATTGGTAACCGAGAGAACTGCTCATTAGCCAAAACTCAGACCTTGCCTTTAAGGAGACTGCCAGCGGGGGGACCCGGTGCGGGCGCGGGGGGCGGGGGGGCTCCCTCGGTCACACTGGCAAGCAAAAAGGGGACGCCCATCCTCTTCCCCCCCCCCCCCCGCCGCTCCCCTCTCCCCCGTTACCAACATCAGATTCCCAGGGGGTCCATGCGGTTTTGACTTTTTAAAAAGTGACTTTTGGTTTGGTTTTACTGGGGACTGATAAGTGCTTTAAGCAACGTCTACACCCCATTGAGACTCCCAGCTTAGCCATTTTCTTGTATTTTTCTGTTCACAGTATTTTCGTGTGTGTGTGCTTGTTCTGGCAGCTGATTTTGGCTGTATTATATATCAAAGAGTGATGAATTGATCCTCTTTTTTCCCTAAGGGATATGAATTGTTTTTTTTTTGTTTTGTTTTGTTTTGTTTTTCTTGTGTTATAATTCTGCTTGTGAATAGCTGGAGCAAACCTGGGGCTTGACACACGTAAGCTAGGGCTGCAAAGTGCTGACAGGGCCGGTGGAGTTGACTTGTCCCTGACAGGCTGACCTACCTGTGTCTCTGAGCTTTTCAGCCCAAATCTTTGCAAGGCTAAAAATGCCACAGAACCTCTCCTCTCCTCCCCACTCCCCATGGCAGGGACTGGACCATCCCAACATGCGACATGCAGCTTCTCCAGCCCCCTCCCATTGCCATGGCAAAACAGGTACCTTTGGGGCATGGGGGCATCACATGGGATGCTTGTATAATTGACCACCTCGCCTTCTCTCCCCACCCCCCACCCCAGAGTCACTTCCTAGGACACCCGAGCTGCTTGCCCAGGGTCCTGTTTCCCTGCGAACTCCAGAGAAGCACCCCCGGGCTTTGTGACAGCCTCTAACTCCCTCCCCTTCTTGTTAAGAATCCTATTGTATAGTAGCTTTCAGACCATACAGTATTCATTGGGTTACTCCTATTATTATCAAGTAGCTGGAATTGTGAAGGTCGGAGTAGTTAGATCTTTAGCTTTTATTCCTTATTTTTTTGTATTACTATCCATGTGTATAAATTATTGATCATGTTGCTGGCTTTTATAAACTCCAAGCGAAGGAGGAGTGCTGCCTCTGCCTTTGCAAACGGTAATGAAGCACTGTTTTTAAATAAACGAGAGAAACACCGTTCTTTGGCCTGTGTGTCTTGATGGGGGATCCCTGTTGCCTCCTCCTGAGGCTCAAAACCTACACCTTGGATTTGACTTCTAAAGATGGAGGAAGGAGGAGGCAAAGCGCAACACTTGCTAAGTGGAGGGCACTCAAGGTCGCGCTGAGCCGTGGGGTAAATGAGGCCAAAGGCTGGCGCCGTGGGAGAGCCTCTCCCCGGATTCCTCCAGGCTTGGCAGAAGCTGGTTTTTGTACCTCTGCTGCTGACCTCCTTCCAGCCTCCGTGCTCTCCTGGACTCCGAGCCGCCGCCCTCCCCGTCCAGCCGCTTGACCTTCCTGCCTTGCTGCCCGGTCACTGTTTCCCCCGGCTCCTGGCCGCCCAGGCTTTGTGCTCCTAACTCTGGGGTCCTGCTGGCCCTTCTGTGCAGGCCTTCTAACCTACCCCCTGCACTGGTGTCCCTGCCAGTAACCACCCTCCCCACCCCCCCCCCCCAAGTTCCAGAAGTCTCCAGTGCCCTTCGCTTGGCTCTCAGGTCACCTAGCTTTCCATTTCATGGAGCTGGAGGCCATCACTGCACACGGGCTCCCTGGAAGAATGCTTTGCTACTGGTTCTAGACATACCTGAGTTCATGCCTTTTCTTTCCCCCTCTCTCCTGTTCTACTCAAGAGATAGTCTTCACCCTGTGCTCGCACCCCATCCTTCGAGGACCTTGCTTTGTTGTGCCTTCCTGCAAGGTCAACCTTTCGCTTGCTACGAGTTAGTCCCTCCGGCATTTAAACATGCTTACACACCTTTAACATATTTAAAAAAAAATAATTCCACAAGATCCCAGGTCCTCTCCTACACGACAAACTTCTGGAATAGGTTTCTGCCCGCTGACTCCAAGGACTTGCTCTCCCCCGTGCTGCAGTCTGGTGGCTCCTCCCTCTAGGACCCTGAGGCAGCCCCTTCTGGTGACAGCAGGTGGATGGATGCCCCTCCCGGGCCCTTACCTGACTGGGTCACATTCAGCACTGCCAGCTGTTCTCGACCCTTCCATTGGCAAGGCCAAGGGGAGCGAGGTCTCCTCTGCTGCCCCCCGGGCCAGCCAGCATGTCCGCCTCCTGTGCTGAGCTGCTCTCGCGGTTTCCATCTTTGGCCAGGCCGCACCCAGCCTCTAACACGGTGCGGGGCGCACTTCCGGACAGACGGCCGCCCGCACCCCAGCCCGGCCTGGGCACCTGGGTCTCCAAACGGCTGAGTTCCCCGTGCTGCGGCCAGTGCCCCGCACGTGTGAGCGCTCTGCAGATGCCTGTTAAGTTCCTTTTCTCAATGTTCTGCATGAAG